CACAACCGGCACAACGGCGGCGCCTCAGTCCCGAGCCACAGGTGCCGAGGGCCCTGATATGGCGGGGACGGGACGGTTCCCCGCAGGTGCCGAGGGCCCTGACACGGGGGGCCGCACCCAGAAGGCCCGAGTGCCGGATGACTGGCAGCACACCGCAACGCCAAGGGACACTCCCAGGAAGCAGCCGATCCCACTTCCGGCGCCCAACATCATCAAGCAGGACCCGGTGGTTTTCCACAAGAGCTCGGTGGGGCTGAATGAAGGGGGCCAACGCCTTTCAGCTACCCCCCTGACAAGTCCAACGGAGCCGTCACCGGGATTGGACATCTTCCCGTGGATGGAGAACATCCCTGAGCGTCTGGTACAGCGGCTGAGATGGACACAGGGCACATCGCCCAAAGTTCCATCCAGTGGGCCCATCATTGTCCTGCTCTATGCAGGCAAGGAAGACCCAACTTCCTTGGACAGCTGTCTTCATGCCAACTACCCACACCTTTCCAGCATGGTGGTGGCGGTAGACATCCTACGGTCTGGACCAAAAGGGGACCACGATATGCTCCAACCCGAGCTGTATGGAGCTCTTTGCACGGCAGCAAAGCAGGGCCGAGTGGTCTTCATTGGAGGAGGACCCAACTGCAGGACATGGTCCATCCTGCGCCACATACCAAAACCGGGGGCTCCCACCCCGGTGCGAGGGCGCACTCCAGAGACACTTTGGGGCCTTCCACACCTGGACCAGGCCGCCCAGACTCAACTTGATGATGACAGCATCCTCATTCTGAGACAGATGTACATCACCAGCCTGGCAAGGGCCTCACGAGCGGCGGTTTCTCTGCCAGGGCCCAGGTCCTTCCTGGAACACCCGGAGGACCCAGTGGTGAGCAGCTCGCTGCCCAAAGCCAAGGAATGCTCATCCTTCTGGATCACAGAGGAGGGGCAGCTTTGGATGGAGGAGAACTCCTTGACAGCAATCTCCTTCGACCAGTGCCGCCTGGGCCAGCTGGTCAAGAAGGCCACTACGCTGGCCACGGATCTCCCGATCCAGGACTGGGATCAAATGCGGTGCACGCATCAGTCACATGTGGGCACCAACGAGTCCTCGACTCTTAGCAGATACCCTTGGGATATGATGGCAGGCCTGGCCAAAGCCATCGCTGTGTCACTCGCAGCGCCGGGGCACATCCGGATCCCCTCACAATTTCCGGGAAACCCCAAGGAACCACCTAAGGGGCGGGGGTCGGACCCCCCGGAAGGCCATTCCCCCCGGGGAAAACGGGGGCCCAGTCAAGGAGGCGGTCCCTCCTCATCACACCAGGGCTCAAAGCCCGGAGGCAAGAACGCCCCGAAGCCCCGCCTGCACGGGCAGTTCCACCCTGAGGCAGACACCGTAAGCCCTCGTGGAACAATGAACCCAGACTTCCCATCTCCCATGCCCCCGATGGCCGGAGATGCGGAACAACTGGGGAAGGAGGGACAGGGGGACCAGGTCCTGGACCGCCCCGAATGCCTGCCCGCTTTCAGGGTCCCACACCTCACTGACCGGGTGGCGATTGTCCAATTGGGTTTCCGCTCACGCCCCCTGAGGGATGGGGGGGGAAAACCTTGACAAGGTCCGAATGTCCCTGGCATCAGGTGCCACCACACACCCCTTCCAGGAAGCCGACCTCGAGGAGCTGCGGGCTATCCTAGGACCGAGGCACCTCCATGAACGATGCCCAGGACAACCCTTCCTCCTGGACTTAGTGTCGCACTTGGCATCCCTTTCAGGTGACCCTGATTGGGAGTTCCCCCTAACACTGAAAGAGGGGGTCCCCTTGGGAGTCTCGGACCCTACCTTGACCTCCCCGGGAGTTTGGCCCACTAAGGAGGAGCTTAAGGGAGAAGCCTGGCTGGGGGAAGATCCCCCCCCGCCAGTGGCTCATGATAACTACCCAACGGCTGAACTCTTTGCCAAGGAAATCGAATCAACCTTTTACGAGGAACGAGCCTTGGACATGGTGGACGGGCCCTTCACTCGCTCCGAGGCGGCAGAGAGGTGCCGCTGCAAACCGGAGGAACTTTGCCCGGGCCCCCTTGCAGGGATTGATGAGTCGGACAAGATCAGGACGATCTATGATGGCTCAAAAGGGGGAGCAAACGCACACATCCAGGCTCACACGGAGGAGAAGACCACCGCACCGATGGTTGGAGACTGCCTCCATGCCATCCACTGGCTCAGGACAGCGGCGGACCATCCTCATCTACTCCGAGCCCCATCCTCGGGCACTGATGAGGAACCTCGGGATGTTCACCAGCCGGTGCAGGGGCAGTCCCCAGGTGCCGAGGGCCCTGAGAGGGAATTTCACAGCACCAGCCTGCCCCCAGGTGCCGAGGGCCCTGATAGGGGGCCTGGACGTCTCTCCGCAGTCAACACCCTCAGAAAAGGGGCCACTCCCAGGTGCCGAGGGCCCTGATAGGAGGGCCCCATTCCCCCCAACCCCGCGAGGCACGGAACGCCCTGGGGGGAGCAGGGGGGAACCCCTGACGTGGCAGCCGCCGACACAGGGGGAAACCTTCATCATCCTCAAGGCGGATGTCACCAAGGCCCACAGGCGCATAAAAGTGCTCCAGAAAGACTGGAAATACCAGGTGGCCTGCATCCAGAACCGGTGGTGGGTCAATAGAGTGGGCACGTACGGCATGGCCTCGGCACAACTGTACTGGGGAAGAAAGGCATCCTTGGTGCTCAGACTCTTGTACTACATCTTCCCTCAGGTGGACTGGCACTTAGTTTTTGTGGACGACTACTGCTGGGTCCTCAGATGCAGCAGGGCGGACTGGGACGCCACAGCCATCCTGCTCCCCGGTCAATACCTGGTTGGGATTCGTGGTGGACCCAATCACGCCCTGTGTGCTGCTGGCTCCAGTCAAGCACGTCATAATCCTGGCCACTCTCAAACGGCTGGCCCAGGGGGACATCTTTACCAGCAAGGAGGTGGAACAAGCCCTGGGCCGGATTCAATGGGCTACTTCGGCGTGTCCATTGACGAAACCTTTCCTCCAGCCCTTTTGGAGCTGGAAGAAGGCCTGCACCACTTCGGGCAGGCCACCGAAGCTGGTTCGTGCTCTGGCCATCCTTCTGGGGAAGCTCTTCAACCAGAGGTTCCCACTGGCATCTCCATTTGCTCCCACACTTCCATGGACGGGGGCATCTGATGCGGGAGCTGGCAAACAGGCGGACCATGCATGGGTTGGTGGTTGGTGCTCGGACGTGCCCAACCCCGACAAGTCCCGAGTGAAGTGGTTCCAACACAGAATCACACCGGAGGGCGAGCCGTGGGCCTTCACTACTGGGGACCCGCAGCGGGCGATAGCGGCCTTGGAGCTCTTCGGCCTCCTCCTTTTGGTGAGGGCTGTTCTGCTTTGTGCAGCCGGCTCGGCTTCTCACACTAGGATTCTGGTTGCTAGTGATAACCAGGGAAACGTTTTCTCCCTGCTTAACGATTCCACTCGCAGGATGCCCAATGCGGCCATCCTCATGGAAATTGTGTTAACACTGCATGACCACCAGGTCATGTTAGGACCGTCGCATGTGAAGCGCGACTTTAACACATGGGCGGATGAACTTACTCATCCGGACCCGCAATTTCCGACTGAGAACCGGGTCTTCCCCTCAGTCGAAAGCGAATTGATCAAGCTGATCTTCGCTACTTTCCTTCCTCACCCATGATGCCGGGAGGGCATCCGGTGAGGTGGGAGGATTCCTCCCTCGCTGTGGGAGTGGCATCAATTCTACTCCCATCAGCTGCTGAGGGGAGCTGCCCAGTGGAGCTGGGCAATCCTCCCATTTTGGCACTAATCCTTATGCGGCGTAAAGGATGCACCGTTTCGCGATTAAGGTACCAGTAGCACCAATGTGGTGCTTTGAAGAGTCTTGGGTACCTTTTTGGCAGACGGGGCGCGCCTGCAGGCCATTTGGGCAAACGTCTGACGTCGCACCAAGGGGCCCAGGTGTTGGGCAAACGGACGAGTTGCACGAAACGCCGAAGGAGATGGACTCAATGCCAGTAGCTTCCACAAAAATCACTTCCTGAATTCATGAACTTTAAACTTGTTGGGTATATAAATATAAAGTTTGGACTTTTTGTGGGCCATCCACTCAGCAAGTGAGAACAAAACAAACTTGAGCAACTTGAAGAGAGCCGCAACCGCACGCTGAACAAAAAGTTCACACCTTGCTCTGGTTGGCTGCTCTTGGGAGATCATGAAGTGTGTACTGCAATGCCATTGGCCGAGCAATCTTCAAGGTACCGCAAGAATGGGTTGTTGATAAACAGTTTTTTGTAGTAAACTCTTCTTTTGTAGATCCTAAACATTGTGTTTTTGTTTGTTGCGTAGTAACCATTTTTCCTCAACAGCTGAAAGCTTTGGGGTCTCAGCCCAGATAGGCTCCGGGGTGGTCCGGGGCGGCCCTGAGGTAAGGTTCCACGAAAGTTCCACCAGGGTTCCACCAGGGTTCCACCAGGGTTCCACGAGGTTCTGCGAGGGCTGCGAGGTGGTGCGAGGTGGTGTGAGCACTAAAAAGGGCACCGCATGCTGTTGGGGATATCACCTGAGCTTATTTAAGATAAATCCCAACTTGAGGTGTTTATGCCAAGCCAAAATCAGAGCCGTCAAGCTGTCAGAGGCTGCCACAGTTATCCAAAGGCTCAAGGCCAAAAAGGTGCCCTACAAGCGGCACCTTGTTCCCCTGCCTCGGTTTCCCTTGTTTCTCCCTGCCCTCGTATCCGCATGTTCTTGTTGTTCCCCTTATTTCCTCTTGTCTCCTCTTCTTTCCTCTTGTTTCATCATCTTCCAAACCACTTTTCTCCTGGTTTCGTGGTGTTCTTTCCAGTCTGCCCGGGTTCCCCCCGAATTTTCCCCCGAATTTTCCCCCGAGTTTTCCCCCGAATTTCGCTCGTTCGCCGGCCCCCGGCCCCCTTTCCCCCGGCCCACCCCCTGGCCGAAGCAAACGCCCGCAGGCGCTGCTGGCGCAGGGCAGGCAGCGGCTGCGGCAGAGCCGGCTGGCCTTCGAGGCTCTGGGGAATGGGTCGACGGGGTTCAGGTGACCCGTTGGGATTGGTTGGGATTGGGTGTTGATGATCTGAAGCCCTGGTTCTTGCTTGGTTTATTTCTAAGTGGGTGCTTGGGATTGGGTTTTGGAATGTTTTGGATTTGAAGCCCTGGTTCTTGCTTGGTTTACTAGTCAACGGTTCAGACCTGGCAGGTTGGTGGGGGTTGGTCAACAGTTCAGGTGACCCCTAAGTGGGTGGTTAGCATTGGTGGGTTGGGATTGGTGGGTTCTTGATGATTTGAAGCCCTGGGTCTTAATTGGTTTTTGATTTGAAGCCCTGGTTCTTGATTGATTGGGTTTTGGATGTGAACCCCTGGTTCTTGCTTGATTGGTTTTTGATGATTTGAAGCCCTGGTCTGCAGAGGGTAGATGGGGAACCACTCCCTACCACCGGGCTCCAAACACAAATTGGAGGGAAGCTGACAACACGCTCCCATGGCCCAGTGGAATAGGTAACCAAGGCAACCACCTTTTACATCCGAAAGGAGAATGGTTGGATACCTCTACATGGGGGTAGGATATGGCTTTGTGTCATGGTCATAGAAAGTTGGGTTGGCCAAACGGAAATGAGCACCATAGAACCGGACTGGAGGGTGTCTGCTTTTGTGATGGGTTCTATGTTGGGGCCAAAGTGATTGACTCCCTTGGAGGCCCGAAGGTCTGGCAGACCATCTTGGGGCTCGGACGATTCAACCATCCCTATCTTGCATCCGCCAGACTTTCATCCGGCTGCGCGAAGGGGACGTGTGTTGTTTTCCCTCGGGGCGGGGCCGGTGTAGTTTCCCCTCCAGACGTCCCTCTTGACTAGACGTCCAGTGCTTTCGGGGCTACCAGAACCCAAAAAGATGGGATATTGCCCCAACGTTATGTGTGAGTCCCCCCCTTTGTAAGGGTAGTTTGAGGGTCCAGGTACCCCAAGAAACTTGGTGCTCCTATGGGAAAGAGGCTTAATGATCGAATAGCTTTTGGGCTACGGAGCTCATCTTGGGCGGACGGTTGGCCGGATGGTTGGCCACGGCTTTGGCAAGATATGTGTCGGTTCTTGGCTTCTTGGGTTGGCACTATCTTCCTGGCTTGGCTTCAAGCCGTTTCCGATTCGGCCATGAATCTGAACTGGCAGATTGCAGAGAACACATTCGCATTGTCTCCAAGCGGAGTGAGGGAGGTGCAAGGCGTGTGGCATCATTCAAAGACACTCAGCGGAATCCGAAACATCATCCCAAAACACGTGATGCCCTCAGGGGGTTTAGGCTTTCTACCTGGCAGACTTGTGAAGCCTCCAAACAAAGCGTCATGCTGCTCGTTTGTGAGTTTCGAGACCAAACTGTCTTGAGGATGGGACTGGACTGCGGGCTTGCACTTCACCACAGTGGGCCTCATTCCAAGAAATTTGGCCTGGGGATGTGTGGTTATGTTGCAGGGAAACAAGCCAGGCAAACTGCAGAGGTTCCATTAGTCTGAACACAAAGCTGTACAATGCCGGACCTGGCCAAAGCTTGTCTGAGCGTCAAAGCAACGCCGGACTTGGGGTGTCTGCATAGGTCCTGGTGGATAGCCTCAGCGGATATTTGGAGCGCAGCGGTCAGCCGGGCCACTTCCAGAAGTGGTGGCCCATCTATGGCCTCGCCGGGCTCTGTGCCTCGGATGTTCGGCAGCGGAAGGAAGGAAGGGGCTGGGGGCAGGGGTGGTGGGACGTGGCCACGTATGTGTGTAGTTGTTTAGCTCCTTGTATCGTGTGTGTACCTGTGTAACTGTGTGTGTGTGTGTGTGTGTCGCGCCTGGAGCGTCCTTGGTGGGGTATACCCCCAAATTGCCATTTTCTAAGGGCCAATGAGACTCCAGGATGTGAGGTGGTGCTGTTGTTGTTGTGGTGGGGGCGGGGGCGTTTACGGCGCCTTGGTGGTTGAGAGCTTTGGGGTCTTGGATTTTTGGCAAGTCCTTTGACCAGGGAAAAGAGTGGAGGGTTTGCCGCGCCTTCTGGCCTTTCAGCGGGGGGGTGGCTCGGGCCTTTCCCGCGGTGCGGTCACCCCTCAGAAACATGGTCTGGTAAGATGCACTAAGCTATCAAAAAGCGTGTCACCAGGTCAGGTCTCAAAAACAATTGCAAGTAAGATGTCCTTTGTCCAAGCACAAAATGGTCGCCGGGCCACCCCTCGGAAACGTGGCCTATAACTTGCTGGTGCGATAGGCAGGGATTGACAAATTGAGTGATTAAACATCCAACTGATGGTTTCCTTTAGGGGTACCAATTCTTGGATTCATTCCCACAATCCCTGCCTGTCGCACCAGCAAGTAAAATAGGGGACCCTCAAAAAGGGTTCTATGTGGGTTGCCTATGTTGGTTTTCTCTTTGCCTGCGGGTAGCTTTGCCTTTTGGCTTCCTCTTACCCAGAAAGGGCACCGCTTCAGAAACATGCAAGATGGCCTATACTACTATAGGGAGTCACCAACAATGGGTCACAAAAGGCACCCCTCAAAAACATGGCCTAGAATGACTTGCTGGTGCTCAGCACCAGTTGGATGGTTCAAAGAAGGGGTCATTCCAATTCTCTTTCCTCACTGAGCCCTTTGGGTTGGTTTGCGCTTTGGCTTTCTTTTACCACCGTATGTTGGGTCCCTATACCCCCCACCCACCCCACCCACGCCCATCCACCCGACGACCGCTTCACCTTCCATTTGCTTCAGAATATGTGGTTTGTTTTTCCCCCTCTTGGTGTTAAAGACAATTTATCACTACTGGACATATATTTAATTTTTGTCCAGGGGTCGAAAAACCAAATGGCCGACCCACCCACGCCCACCCCACCCCACCCGACCCACGCCCACCCACGCCCACCCAGCCCACGAGTCACTGCATCCGAGTCCTGCTGGGCCACGCCTGGCGCTTGCGGCTCTCGGACCGCGTGGCGCGGGAGGCGCTGCTGCTGCGGGCCACGGACGTCTGCTGGCAGCCGGGGACTCGGATGAGCCACGTGCTCAAAACCCGGCTGCGAGGGTGAGGAAGCCGCGAGCGGCGCAAGCGGCGCTAGCGGCGCTAGCTCTTCTTCGGCCAAGGTGTGTCACAATCAAAACCCGGGGATTGATGAAGGTTAGGAAGGGACAATCCCAGCCATAAGTAGTTGCGGCCGCCTTTGTGTTTCCTCACATAGTTCTGGGTCAACGATTTTACTACCGGGTTTTGATTGTGACTCGGATGGGTGAGGCTTGTCTTGTTTTTTTGTTTGAGAGAACCCAGGCGCCATGTTTTGTTGTTGGGGGGGTTCCTCAGTTGTTTGTTTTGGTATTTTTCTCTTTTTTTTTTGGGGGGGGGATGTGTTTTTTCCTCACTCCCAGAGTGCCTGGACTTTATACTTTTTGGGAAGACCAGTGCAGGGGTAAATACAAAGTTGGGACTTTTTCTGGGTCATCCACTCGGGAAGTGAGTTTCTTTTTCTAGAGAACCCAGACGCCATGTTTTTGTTTTGGGGGGATGGCACGTTTTGTGGGTTGGCCTTAGAGGGAAGCAGAAAGAACACCATTGGCGTTTGGGAGAACCCAGATGCATCTTTTTTTGGAGGGGGGCGGTGTTTCTCAAAATCAGAAAATGGGGACTGAGGGTCCCAAAGAGTTGGTGTCCCTTCAAAGCAACCTGGGTTTCTCGCAATTTCCCAGTTACCAAGGAACATTCGCGGACCTTCCTTTTTCCATTTGGACGGGGTGGGCCCCTTAAACATCAACCAGCGAAAATGGACCCCCCATGAAGGTCAACTTTGGATCAGACCCAGAGAGGGTTTGCAACAAATGGGTTCGCTGGCTGAAAACTTGGGTTTGCCTCAAAGTGGATCCAACATGGCTGGTCCCTTTTGGCTTGCCATTGAAATCCATTTCAACAAAGTCAAAAAAAGACACACTAATCACATGTGCCCTTTTGTTTCCAGGGTTGCTTCCGGTATTCACAGCTACATGTATCAGCAATCAACATCCTGCAGCGTGCAAAGGATCCTTATGAAGGGGATCTGGCCCGTTTCCTTTGTGCAATTCGTCCCAAGCTATTCTTGGGATTCCAAGTCTCAAATTCGATCCGCCCAGGTTTGCCGCGCATGTCTACAGATCTACAGATGGCGACCCTAAACCCTAAACCCTAAACCCCAAACTGTTTAAAAACAAAAAACAATGACTAAAAAAAATGTAATAACAAAAAAACACGGAGCCTCAAATTCGGAGTTTGAAGGAGAGAGCCTCCGGCGTAGGTTCCTGGACGAGTGGGTGGTGTCGCCCTTCAAACAGCTCTGGGAAGCGCTACTGCTGCGCACCCCAAAGGTGGGGGGCCAGACGGAGCCCAGCCGGGATGACCAGTAACTCAGTTGTCCAAAGCCGACCTTTTGACCTTTTGGTTTTCCAATTTTGGTCCATTTTTAGTACAGGTGCCAAAAGGCTAACCTTTTAGTTCTGGGTCCTTTGGGCAACTGAGTTGACCATTGGATAAAACCAAGCATGAGATTTCAACCAAAAGTGGGAAGAGTTACTGATGGTCATTTGGCGGTCAAAAAAAAGTTGGTCACCCCAAAATGGGTTGGTGAGTGGAAACATGGACGATTCAACCTGCGGTCCATATCCTGGTGGCTTCATGTTGACCCATACCCTCACCCAGCCAGTGGGCGCACTTTGCACCTTATTCCTTGGTGGCTCTCCATTTATTTTAGTGGTGGCCCAAAAAAGTGTGCACTTTTTTGGGGCTGGTCACTGGCCAAGTGAGATTGAGCTGGGAGTACATGCCCGCCCCGATTTCCTGTAGCCCAAGCAGCCTTGGATTTGTAGGAGATCGGTCCCGGAGTCCCGGCGAGTTGGCCAAAATGCCAGGTCAGATTTTGAGCATGGAAGCAGAGGGTGATAGGGGGCAGGGAGTACCTCGGGCAAGACAAACATGGAGGTTGCGCTTGTCTGCGGATTGTCTGGGCGATACTCTCTCTTTCACTATGGAAACTGAGAGCCTACCGAAAGACCATTTGCTGGGGCCTTTCACCCGTGTTTGTGGGAAGGGTGCGTCCTCAAGAGGTGGAGTAAAGGCTGCCCAAGGCCAAAGGACGGCTTGTAGCCGAAGGGCTGGAGTTGATTTCTCGATTCCAGGACGAAACAAATTCCTGTTTGCTAAAGGTGGTTTCCTGTTGGCTTCCTGAAAGACAACCTCAAGAAGGGAACCCATATCACCCTCTCACCCTATGCTTGTTTCCAAGCTGCTCACTTGACACCCTCTTGACCTCTGCAAACCCCCGGGAAAACTCGCCAAAACCGAAGCCCCCCCCAGCAGCCAAACCACAGGACGAGCTACGCGTTCAGCTCCGAGACCTCAAGGTGGAGCAGGAGACACACCGCTGCTGCTGCCGGGGCTATGGGCTGCTCAGATCCTAGCAGCCCTTTGGGGCTACTCATGCCATCTCCCCGTTGCCCAGCGGACTTCGGCCCCTTTTTTTGTCATCTTCTTCTTCTTTCATTTCTTTTTGGTAAAGGGTTCCGATTCCTTTAGACTCAACCAACCAAAGAAGGGTGCCGTTTTTGTGTTTTTTCTTCCCGTGGCCACTGGGCATCTGAGATCTAGAAGGGAATTCCATGCGCCTCAGCAAACTTTTGAGGCAATATCCAATGGTCTCATAGTGCGCATGGGCCCATGTGGTTTCCATCCATTGCACGGGGAGCAGCGGCCAACAAGCCATGTTCCTTCGGCTTTTTCTGCGGTGGCATCCCTTAGCCGTGGTCCGTCAGGGTCTTTCTCAACGGTATTGTTCCGCCTCTTAGCCGTGGTCCGTCAGGGTCTTTCTCAACGGTATTGTTCCGCCTTTCTCTGAATGGCCAGCGGTTCCACAGTTTCGGGGTGAACACGAGCCATTTATGCCCACAATGTAGGTCCTTTGCTTGGGAAGTCGTCGAATAATTGAACTTGCAGATTCTTATTCCACAATTTGTCGTTTATTTCTTGTTTGGGAGGTGGCATCCCTTTCTTGTTCAATCGTTTTCCCTTCCTCATTATTTCATTCTGGGTGGGGGACTCGGGTTGCAGCGTCCACATCTTTGGAGCAGTCCAGAGGCCGAGAGTTCACTATGAGGGGAAGCGGTTGCTAAGGTTTGCTCGCGATTTGGCAAACATTTCCCTCGGTGGTCGAAGGGTTTGGGAAAATGACATCCGGTCCGGAATTGGTCGGCTTGACGTTTTTGAGGCAATGAAGCTGAATCATGCTGTGGGAAACGGAACCAGCCCAGCCCAACCCAGAACCAAAGCAGGGCCACTCTCAAGTTTGTTTCCTCCGCGTCTTTCCCCCTTCACCGTTTTGTACCGGCCATTTCTCACCCAACGTGCGATGCCCCGCTCGCTCCCCGCGTGCTTCCCCCCCCCCCCCGCCCATGCCTCGTACAGGAGGCCTTGGAGCGCATGGTCCAGGGCTTCGCCTCCTTCGCGCGCCAGGAGCCCCACTTCAAACACGTCCAGCCAGGCGCGGAAGGGAAAGTGGGGGAGGCGAGAACTGGAGGCAGCGTTGGATTCGATTCCTTGGTTGCTTTGTTTGTTTGTTTGTTTGTTGGTTGGTTGGTTGGTTGGTTGGTGTATTTTTTGAATTTATCCAGACCCTTTGTTCAACACTTGCCTAGTCCAAGCCACGCCAATGCTTCGGCGTCCGTCGCAGCGCGCTTTTTGTCAGGCAACGATCAGGTTCTGCCGGAGCTGTACTTCGAGTGGTCCATGACGAAGCCCATCAGCAACGTGGTCACCGGCCACCTGGTGGAGCCGCGCACCCAACGGGTCGATGTGCTTCAGGGGGCAAGTGCTTTGAAACCAACTGATAGCTTGGTGTTCGGTGGGCCAAGGGCTGGCGGCAGGTTGCCGTTTACCCAGTCAGTACCCTCTGATTTTTTTGGGGGTATGGCGGGTCAACCCCTGGCATCCACCTCAAAACAACATTCGTCACGCAGCCGTCCTTTCCACTTCGCATCGTGGTGGACTGGACGGTGCCAGTGGCTTGGGTAGGGCGTCGGTCGCCAGAAAATGGAATTTCACTCCATTTTCAGGGAGCACCATCCATTTTTTTGGGTAGTTTGGAGGTGGTTTGTTTTTGCTACTTGCTGTAGTGGAGAATCAATCATGTACCAAATAGTGCAAGGTGTTAGTCAAACCGAACTGAGTGCTTCTCCAGTGCCCTGGAACATGCGACCTTGCAGAAAAGCAGCTCCAGGTGGTTGCCCTTTTCAGGTTGCTTTGTACGGAAACTGAAAAGAAAACCACCAGTTTGGCGGTCCATTCCCATTGCGGAGCCTACAGAGTGCGCGGCGCCTGCAATGTGTGTTTGTTGGGTGGAGATCCAAGCGTTGGCAGACAAGAGCGGCCAACCGAGTAGACGCCAGAAGCAGAAAAGACAGACAAGTTGGCCTTGCAACCTCGCAGTAACTACAATAATGAAGCAAGTCCTTGTTTTAAAGGGGTTTCTCTCCTCACCTCAGGATTCCCGTCTAATTAATCGGCTGTCTAATAAGCTATCACTTGCGGTTTCTCCTAAATAGATTCCCTTGCTTCACACCAACCACTTGATTCCCGTTTTGAGCAGCTTCACAGTTTCCAGGGTACCCACTTGGGGTTTCTCCTAACACGATGCTCTTTACTTGTTGTTGTTTTTTTTTTGGGGGGGGTTTTTGTGGTTGTTTCCTAAACCCCACCCCGCTTGTCCGTTTTTGGGGCGCCCATTTGAGCCCCGGCCCGAAGCGAAAAAAACATCGGAGCCAGCGAGGTCCTGCATGGTGCAGAGCCAGAAGCTGAAGGTGCTTCTTTACGTCCGGGGTCCCAGAAAAGGATCGAGGAGACGGACAAAAGACCCGGCGGCGTCTACATGGAGGGCGGTGCTCGGAAGTTCTTTGGCAAGCCGAAAGGGGGCGTGCTGGCTAAGAGTTGTTTCCTCGAGAAAAGCTCAGTGGTGGTTTCTGTTTTTTTTCTCGGAACCCAAAGGCAAATGATACTGGGGCAACTTCCGTTTAAGAGCGGCCAAACCCGAAAGGGGCTTCTTGGTTTCCCTTGCAAAACTGGAAGCGCCAACTGCAAAACATGCAAATGGAAGCGGCCCTGTTGCCAGCACACAAGCAAGCAGGCACGCAAGCAATCAAGCAACCAACCAGCCAACCAACCAGGGTTTGATTTTGCGGCATTGGATCTCAGAGTGAATCTCCGTTTGCCAGATTTTGAGAGCCGATCGTGATATTTTCAGGTGCTTGGGGCGACAGTTGACCAATCGTGGCATCGCTTCCACCACCAGAGAACACCATCGCCTGATGCATGAAGGCATCCCACCAATCATTTGCTACCTGACGTTCGGGGGGTCCTGGTTTGGACCAACTTACCCTCCCACCAATCATGGGTCTTGGTTTGGACCACGTTACTTTTTACAGGGAGCTTTTGTGAGGTTCCACGTTAATTGGTGGGAGGGTAAATGTCCAGATAGCCAACGGGCCCTCGAGCACTCTCTGTGGATGAACTAGAGTCGCCTCGCTGGGGCGGCATGTCGGCTTGCAAGTTCATCGCGTCTACGCGGGCTTTGGCTCTTTGAACATGCGAGAATTTGGGGCCCGGAATGGTGTTTTGTGGGTGTCCCTTGAATCCCAAAGGATGGTGATGGTCAGCCCATGCTTAAGATTTGAACAAAATATGAACTGGCAAACAAGCAGATGAACCGATCTGGCGACATGAACAGATGTCACCAAGTAGCCCGTCATCTCTTCTTAGATGGGCTGCTGGGCCGTGGGGTCTTTCACCGAAAGCCAAACAGCACACAAATTGCACACCATCGACAAGGCTTGCTTGTCTTTCACCTGTAAGCACCACATGCCCGGGATGAAACTACGCTGCTGCCCTTCTCCCAAATGCTGCCCTCAGCCCTTTTTCCCCGGGGTGCATTCGCCTCCTCGCCTCCTCTTTTTCGCGCGAATGCAGCGTGCGAATGCAGCGGCTCGGAAAGGCATCTTTGTACTCCATGGATGCGGTGATGATGCAGCTGAAGTGGGACTTCATCTTGGCAGGGGCACCAAGCGGCGTGCATCCGGTTAAAGCTCGTGGGGTCATGTTGATGCGAACTTCTAGGTTTATGAAAGTTATCACCTTTGCACTGATACTTTCTTTACAGGGCAATGTTTAGAGTGTCCCTTTGATTGATTTACCTTGACGGGACTCACTGGAGCGAGCGTTTGTGAAATTTTGGGCGGGACCCCTCGGATCCCTACAGAGCCCCTTGGAAGACAGGCCATGACACCAGAACCAACGGATCGTTGGCACTCCCCGAAGTGCTCAAAAGTACCCTGGACCGAAAACGATCAATATTGAATGGTGATTAATTCAAATTCAATCAGCTCAATGAAGCCCCCACTTTCCAGTTCCCACCTTCGGCAACCAAGGGAAGCCGGCATTTCACTACATCCAATTCTCTCGGATGTCCTCAAGGGTGGCTACAGACCAACATTCGGAGGAGGAGGGCTTTTGGCCTCATTCCGAAGCTCTGCGGAACCATTGATCTCAACCCAGGAGCCCAATCTGGCCAAACATAAAGTGAGGGATGACGTAGTTGCCCCAAGCGAATCGACCGGATCTAGCCTTGGGGTGCTTGGCTGGTGTCCCAAAGCACATAATTATATACGCAGTAAGTGTATATATATATATATGTAGTGTTTGATTACTATTGTTATTATTATTAATATTAAATAATATAGGTATTATTTTGTAGGTATTGCTTTGTTTTGTTTGGTCGGTGTCTTGATTTTTGGTTTGTACGTTTGTTGTTGTGGTTGGTTGATTGCTTGTTTGCTTGCTTGCTTGCTTGGTTGGTTGGTTGGTTGGTTAGTTGGTTAGTTTTTGCTTGCTTGGTTGGTCGGTTGGTCGGTCGGTCGGGTGGTTGGTTGGTTGGTTGGTTGGTTGGTTGGTTGGTTGGTTGGTTGGTTGGTTGGTTTGTGTTTTTGTTTGTTTGTTTGTTTGTTTGTTTGTTTGTTTGTTTGCGCGAACAAACTAGGCGAGATTCATTTCATTTGCTTTCGACTTTCAAGCGGTGCAGCAAAGTAAGCCCTACCTGACATTGGTGTTTGTTGTCTTGCGCAGCAACGGCTGCGGCAGCACGAAACATACGACTTTGCCTGATGTTTGCGCTTCCACATGTGTCCGTCTCTTTGCCCTTTCAGCTGGTGTAAACGTCAGGTCTTGGCTGCGGCAGTGTTGACTTGCCTGTTTTGCTTGGGTCATGTTTGACCTAGACATATCGCCAGACCACCCTCTTCCATTTTGCGGGTCCCTTCAAAATCGACCAACAAGCAGGAGCCGCCTTTGGTTTCTCTTTTGTTGGAGGTGTTTCAAGTTCCCGGTCCCTGAAGATCAACTTTCCACTAGCATGGGCTTCCCTGTTTTCCCATTGCCTCTGGGGGTCTGCGCCAAATGAGCTCCGCGCACCGACAGGCAGGTGCCATGCCTACGACCATGCTCTGCGGCCTTGTGTGCCCCCCCCCATGGAAACCAAAGATGTGAAAGATTTCTCTAGTCTCCTCCCCAACTATTTTAAATGCTGGCAGGGGTAGACTACAGAGGGAAGACAATCGAAAGATATGTCTTGAGTACCTGAGATATGGACCACCATTTGTGTTTGAAGGGGTTCTGCCTTTAGGTGGTCTTCTTTGAGGCCCTGTCAAGTTTTTCCTTTGGGTGGTCTTGTCTGAGGTGTTTGTTCTAATTCCACTTTCATGGATGTGTTTGGAATCTTCGGACTTTTTTTGCGGGGCCATCTAATGGCCAAAAATGGCCGGGGGTCAGCAACAACTCAGCCAGGTTCCTTTCCTGTCGCCAACCTGCTGGACTATCAACGTATTCAACCCATGTAACAATTCTATATTCACCGCTATAGGTTTGGATAGTGGGTGGATATGAATTTCACCTTCACTGGATATGAGTTTAGCAAACGGGCTTCATCGAGTAGCTGGGAAGGGCATGCAACCCAAAGTTGCGGCTGCCGGCGAATGGGATTTGTTGCATAGGCCGTCACCATTAGGGCCGCCAAGAAAGGTTCTCAGAACCCTGAGACAACCCCTGGTTAACCTCCATTAAACCACCCCTCCCTCGGAATTGAACAACATCTGGTCAAAACACCCAGATTTTCCATAGGTGGTTGTCAAAATTCGGGTTCACTTTCTGCTATTCCCTTCGACATCCTTTAACAGCCATCAGTTTTCACCACTCCTCATATATTTGGTGCATTTTGCTTGGAGGTTAGGACTTTGACTTTTTGCCAACTATTGGGTTTTCCATTAAACCACTGAAAGTTAATCTTTTAGCAGGGAGCAGAAAGCAACCGAGCTTTAACGGCCATCAGTTTTAACAACTCCTCATATCTTTGGTGCATTTTGCTTGGAGGTTAGGACTTTGCTTTTTTGCCAACTAATGGGTGTTGCATTAAACCACTGAAATTTAAACTATTAGCAGGGGAGCAGAAAGCAACCGTCAGTTTTCGCAACTCCTCATATCTTTGGTGCATTTTGCTTGGAGGTTGGGACTCTGACTTTTTGCCAACTAATGGGTTTTCCATTAAACCACTGAAAGTTAATCTTTTAGCAGGGGAGCAGAAAGCAACCGAGCTTTAACGGCCATCAGTTTTAACAACTCCTCATATCTTTGGTGCATTTTGCTTGGAGGTTAGGACTTCAACTTTTTGCCAACTAATGGGTGTTCCATTAAACCAGGTTAGGACTTCGACTTTTTGCCAACTAATGGGTTTTCCATTAAACCACTGAAAGTTAAACTTTTAGCAGGGGAGCAGAAAGCAACCGAGCTTTAACGGCCATCAGTTTTCACCACTCCTCATATCTTTGGTGCATTTTGCTTGGAGGTTAGGACTTTGACTTCTTGCCAACTAATGGGTTTTCCACTAAACCACTGAAAGTTAGACTCTTAGCAGTGGAGCAAAAAGCAACCGAGCTTTAACGGCCATCAGTTTTCACCACTCCTCATATCTTTGGTGCATTTTGCTTGGAGGTTAGGACTTCAACCTTTTGCCAACTAATGGGTTTTCCATTAAACCACTGACAGTTAATCTTTTAGCAGGGGAGCAGAAAGCAACCGAGCTTCAACGGCCATCAGTTTTCACCACTCCTCATGTCTTTGGTGCATTTTGCTTGGAGGTTAGGACATTGATTTTTTGCCAACTAATGGGTTTTCCATTAAACCACTAAAAGTTTAACTGTTAGCAGGGGGAGAAAGCAACCGAGCTTTTTAACGGCCATCAGTTTCACCACTCCTCATATCGTTGGTGCATTTTGCTTGGAGGTTATGACTTCGACTTTTTGCCAACTAGTGGGGTTTCCATTAAACCACTTCAAGTTAAACTTTTAGCAGGGGGGCAGAAAGCAATCGAGTCATATGGTCCCCCCTTTTGGTATGTGCCAAGTTTTAATCCCCTGGCCAGGTACTGGGCCATCGCCAGCACACGCAGGCGTCGACAGCTGGACTCCAGGCGCCGGTTTCCCCGAAGAAGAAACCGGGCGGCCCCTTTTGTCCAGTGGTCGATTGGCGCCCTGTGTTGTTTTTTGGTTTTGTTTTGTGGGGGGGCCCTGTTTTTGTGTTTGTTTGTGTTTTTGTTTTTTCTTGGGGGGGGAGGGGTGGAACCCTTAAGTCCACCAGCCAAACAAAATGGATGCGACCTTTTGGGCGATGTTCAAACACTGAGCTTTCATTAGTTGACAAGTTCAACAGGGCTCCTTAAAAGATACATATTGCCCATTTGAAACATGGCTTTTTCCACCAAAATAAGGGGAAACCACCATTTACAAGGCAATGTTCAGGTGTATAATGTAAGGATCCCTGTTCAAAAGCTTTGAAACCTTTGAATTGTTGTTTTGCGTTCAAGCAAACATGAGCCTTTCGATCCAGGAAAAAATCGGCGTAGGTTCTCGGCTCGTTATGAGTTGGGGTTGAGGATATGTTTGAGGTCACTTGGTTTCGGAATCCCAACTCCTCCGTCCAGGCAGCAGATTTGAGAACTTCAAACCAGTGCTGTGCTTTTTGTTTAAACAGCCCATGGTCAAACGTCAACCATGAAAAGGACGTTGATTGAATATGAGTGGTTTCATGTGAGAGTTTCTCAAGATGCACACCAACTTTGTGGAATGGGGAGAAAAAGGCAAACCAAAAGGAGCCAGACCAGGACAGAGTTTCCCCCTTGAAATCCTGGCTGCGATCTCCCAAAATTATCATTTCGGCTGAGACATTTTCGGCCGTTTCAGCGATTGAGGGGCATCCCTGGCAGGAGAACAAATCCAATTTCCCTCGGTTTCAGATCGCGTGGGAGTGGCGGATATCCCTCCGAATCGATCGATCGGCAGGAAGAAGATGGTGCGTGCGCTGTCGGAGCTGGATAAGTTCCTGCGCCTCAGATGCCTCAGCGAACATCGGGCAGCGACCAAAATGGCCTCTGAAACGGTTCCAAGGCTCCAAAGGGGGGGGTTCTCCCCTCAAGAACCACACAGATATGCACGTGAAAAGAAGCCTGGAGCAGGTATCCATGATTCCAGGATCTGTGTTGAAGTTGTTTTATTGTTTAAGGTTCACTACATTTGGACCAGAATCAAGCCATTGAGTTTGGTTGGGGGTAAAAAGCTGTGGTAATGCCCTCTTACGCTCTTCGTAGGCATTACACGTGCGGGAAAGAACAGAAGCACTGCCCAAGGTTGTGAAAACGCTCTGTTTTAGGTTGCCATTTTCTGTGAGTGGCAAGGGAATCGCCATTAACTAGTCGGGAATGACCCAGGGTGTTGGGAATGAACCAGGGGATTCCCTTCAAGGCTGTTTTTCTTCTCGGGGTCATTCCGTTTCTCATTCCCTGCCGTCCCTGCCTAACCAGCAAGCTAAATGACAAAGTCATAGGGATTCCTCATCACAAGGGGCCCACAACCCCAGAACCGTGTTCCCGGAATGGGGGAGGCCTCGCTGTCCTCAGCCTCATGGTTCCGTACTTTGCGGTATTTCTCCCCACAAAATGGGTGTGGCTCAAAATGAAGCAGGAGGGATTTACGCAGGTTTTGGTCCATGTTTCCACTTACCAGGGTTCCATTTCGGTACCGGTTTTTTGAGCCACAGCCAAGTCTGAATCACTACTGCCTTGGAGAATGAGAAGACCATTTTCGTCTGGAGTAGCTGGGCTTGTTTGGCTCGGAAGTGAGGGGATGGGGAAGCCACTGCAAGGTGTTTATCTTGACCAGCTTGAATAAGCACATGTTGGAGCGATAGGTGTCCTTTTTGGTTGTTTTGGTAAAATAATAGATGGCCCTGATTTACCAGGGATGGTTTACTCACATCTAGCAGGGCCATCTATTCCCCCAAAAGGACACCTATGGTTGGAGCCCTTCAGAGGAAGTTCACAACCTGTTTGAATGTTTGAAGCGGCAGAGGGAGGGTTGGAGAAAGTCATTTCGAGTTTGATCATTTTTGTTTGTTTCACGTGGCCCAACACAGCGGAAGTTGGACGAGCCTCCTTCATATTCGATTCGGCGATGATCGCTCTCAGTTGAGGATCCCCAACCCCCTGTCTGAGTTGAGGAACCCACCGCAATGAGCTTAGGAACCCACACCCCCAGTCTAAGACAACCCAGCCACCCCCTTCCCATCCCCAGTTCAGGAACCTCACCCACGGACTCCTCGGCTCAGATGTGCTTCTTTTTGCTCAACTCCCCCAGAAAAGTGCTGAAGAGGCCACATGAGCACATGGCCCTTGCGCCTTTTTTTGGGGTTGAGAAGTTGACTCATGGGGCAAATCCCCCCCCCAGTGAACATCCCAATCCCCACTATAGACTAACATACCCCAAAAAGGGGTCCAAAACGGTTTTGACCACCACAGGCATGATGACTCCTCCCCACCACCAGGGGACGCATTTCCCCCCCCAACCCACCCCCACCCCCCACTCAGCCCAGCCAGATCCCAATGTCAGATCCGCCTGAGGAACCGGAACACCGAGTCCCTGGCACCCCGCAGGCAGATCTCCGGCATGGCGCGGCTCAGCCGGGCCCCCGGACGAGGTCATCGTGCTTTCCGATGTTTTGTTGGTTGTTTTGTGTGTTTGTTTGTTTGATTGTATTGTTTGTTTGTTTGTTTGTTTGTTTGTTTGTTTGTTTGTTTGTTGTTGTCTTTGTTGCTGTTTTGTTTTTTCCGGGACGTCCCCGAATTCCATTGGTGGATTCACCCTGAAAGAGGCTGCTGTTTTTGTTTGTTTTGTGTTGTTTTTGTTTGTTTGTTTTGTGTTTTTTTTCTTTCCGACGTCCCCAAATTCCATTGGTGGATTCACCCTGAAAGAGGCTGCGTTTTTTTTTAAAAAATGTTTTTGTCTTTTTCCGACGTCACCAAATTCCATTTGTGGGTTCACCGTGCAAGAGGCTGTCTTTTTTGTTTGTTTTGTGGAGTTTTTCCGACGTCCCCAAATTCCATTGGTGGATTCACCCTGAAAGAGGCTGCGTTTTTGTTTGTTTGTTTTTTTTTGTCGACGTCCCCGAATTCCCTTTGTGGATTCACCCTGAAAAAGGCGGTTTTTTTCATGTTGTTTATTTTGTGCTGTTTTTCCGACGTCCCCAAATTCTATTGGTGGATTCACTCTGAAAGAGGTTGCTTTTGTTGTTTGTTGTTGTCTTTTTTCCAACGTCACCAAATTCCATTAGTGGATTCACCCTGAAAGAGACTGTTTTTTTGTTTTTGTTTTTCTCCGACGTCCCAAAATTCCCAGGGTAGATTCACCCTGAAAGAGGCTGTTTTTTCCGGGACGTCCCCGAATTCCCTTTGTGGATTCACCCTGAAAGAGGCTGCGTTTTTTTTTTTTGGTTTTCCGACGTCCCCAAATTCCATTGGTGGACTTACCCTGGTTGTTTTTGTTGTTTGTTGTCGTCTGTCTTTTTTTCCGACGTCCCCAAATTCCATTGGTGGACACTCTGAAAGAGGTTGTTTTTGTTGTTTGTTGTCTTTTTTCCGACGTCCCCAAATTCCATTGGTGGATTCACCCTGAAAGAGGTTGCTTTTGTTGTTTGTTTTCTGTCTTGTTTTGTCCGACGTCACCAAAGTCCATTGGTGGATTCACCCTGAAAGAGGTTGCTTTTGTTGTTGTTTTTTTTATATTTTTTCTCCGACGGCGGCTCGGGGCGCGCGAAATCGTGGCAGGCGTAGCACTTTGGAGATGCCACGGCTCGGGGCACGCGAAATCGTGGCAGGCGTAGCGCTTTGGAGATGCCATTGCCGAAGCCGTGGCAGGCGCAGCATTCTGTGCCTTCTGTGGCAGGGGCAGCATATGGCAGCTGTCTAAAGGGACAGGATGTTGCGCGCGGCTCAGATGCTGTTGCCGAAGCCGTGGCAAGGGCAGCAGTCTTTGCATCTTGGCGATTTTTTTCTGTGGCAGGGGCAGCGTTTGGCAGCTGTCTAAAGTGACAGAATGTTGCCGCGCGCGGCTCGGGGCGCGCGAAATCGTGGCAGACGTAAGCACTTCACGGCTGGGGGCGCGCGAAATCGTGGCAGGCGTAGCACTTTGGAGATGCCAATGCCGAAATCGTGGCAGGCGCAGCATTTGGTGCGCTTGGGCCGCAACTTGCAAAAGCTCTCAGCCTGCGCAAACGCAATTCGATCATGTGGCCCGTCCTTGTCTTGAAAATCACATGAGGGACTGACTATACCTCTTACTTCGCCTTAGTAGAGATCTTGAGGTTGTCGGTTTTGTGGGTGGGGGTCGCTATCGTTCGACGGTGTTTCAATACACCCACAACATTTTCGCGCCATTTCAGTACCAAGTGGTACGTGAAGTACGCGTCCGCAGCTCCAGCTCGAAAATCGCAACTTTGTAGCAGAAGTCTAGTGCGCGAAGTACACTACTTCTGCAGCTCCAGCTCGAAAATCGTAACTTTGTAGTACAAGTCTAGTACGCGAAGCACACTTTCGCAGCTCCAGCTCGAAGATCGCAACTTTGTAGCACAAGTCTAGTGCGCGAAGTACACTTCCGCAGCTCTAGCTCGAAAATCGCAACTTTGTAGCGCAAGTCGGGTGCTCCAAATCGCAACTTTGTAGTGCAAGTCTGGTACGCGAAGCACGCTTCCGCAGCTCCAGCTTGAAAATCGCAACTTTTTCTCCAGCTCGAAAATAGCAGCTTTGTAGTACAAGTCAAGCACGCGAAGTACACTTCCGCAGCTACAGCTCGAAAATCGCAACTTTGTAGTACAAGCTGAGCACGCGAAGTGCACTTCCGCAGCTCCAGCTAAAAAATGCAACTTTGCAGCACGCGTGTGCACTTCTACAGCTCCAGTGAGCAGCTGCAGCTCGAAAGTCGCAACTTGAGGGCTATCCGTTTTATGCAGTTCGGACATTCAAGTCAACCCCGTCCGCGGCTCACACTATGCATAAGTGAAACTAGTCATGGCTGACCGAAAAATCGAGCAGAACTCGAATAAAATAGCATGCGGCTAAAGCTTGTGTAGAGTCCTCGTATGGCTGAAACATTATGACCAGGGGTACCAACCCCCGGCGCCATCGCTGCTCAACGAAGAATCCTGTATAGTCAGCTTGGGTCTTGATAGGGACTGGCTGTCTGGCCTGCTCTGATGCTGCCTGGTACGTCTGCACAATCAAGCGCGGCGCTGCTGGAATGTAGAACGCTGCTGACATGTACCGCGCATGTACATCGGACCAAATGACTCCAATCTTCTCCCAAATCATCTGTCTTAGAAGCGAGGAAAGCACGCAGCTCATCCGTTGACAGTCCAGCTGGACGCTTTGCCTTTTGGCGAGTGATGACGCCTTGCACGCTTGGCCCTGGCAGAGCACTTTAGAGATGCCATTGCCGAAATCGGCAGGCGCAGCATTCTGTGCAGCTTGGCGTGTGTTTGCGTGCTCACTCACTCATTCACCCAGTCACTCACTCATTCACCCTCACTCACTCATTCACTCAGTTTGTGTGGCCGGGGCAGCATCTCGCAGCTGTCTAAAAGGACAGGATGTTGTCGCGCGAAATCGTGGCAGGCGTAGCACTTTGGAGATACCATTGCCAAAATCGTGGCAGGCGCATCATTTTATGCATCTGGGCGTGTGTTTCTGCGGCAGGGGCAGCATTTCGTGTTGACTCACTATAGCTAGCCGAATGGCTTCATAAGTTGCGCTACCCAATAGATGTATGTGCCGCGTTTAGACATGTGGGGTTATTCTGTCCTGTATTTTTTCTCCTGTTCTTCCGACGTCCACAAATTCCATTGGTGAATTCTCCCTGAATGAGGCAGCGTGTGTTGTTTGTTTTTCTTTTTTCGCTTTCTCCCACATCCCCAAATTCCATGGGTGGATTCACCCTGAAAGAGGTTGCGTTTTTTCCCGGTTTCCCCAAGTTTGTTTGCTTTGTTGCATGTCCGACTTTCCCAATCCATTCGATTCACCCTGAAAGAGGTTGGGAATGCGAAACCATGCTAAACCAAAAACAAACATTGCAACTTACTTGGCTAAAGCAGTTTGGCGGGGGGGGGGAGCTCCACTTTGTTTCGAGGTTCTTCAGGGGCCCTCGTTTTTGTGGCACATCACTCACCGACGGTGGAAGCAGGCAAGCCAACGGGGGCTGCGAGCTTTGCACATTGGCTGAAACTCTCAGGCCATGGACCCCTCTAAACGGAAGGCCAGATGAGGATGCTTAAACATTATTTAGACCCAAACTCCGTAGAACATGACAAATGTGCCAACCAATAGTTGCTTAAATATCAAATAGGTGTTCAAGCAACCTATGGCTTCAACAGGTGGAGTTGTCCATTTCCCTGGAGAGCATCTCGAAAAAGGCGGTGGTTTTTGAGCGAAGGTAGCGAGGAGATGCCGCTGAAGGTTCTGCTCTCGCAGGCAGCGTGGGCTGTTTTGCCTCGGATTGGGACCCCAGAAGCGCGCGGGTTGCCTAGGTCCCCCAGTAGTGTCCTTCTCTCCCCTTTTTCGGTTGGGATGGTTTTCCCTACTAAAATAGACGGCAAGAAGGGTACCCTTATTCTAACCTCTGTACTGGAGGAGCTAGTTGCTTCCTCCCTCGAAAATCAACTGCAAAGAACAACCGGTGCTGTGCCACCGGGGGCTGGTTGGACTCACAAAGGGTTTTGGGAATGAACCTGGGGCCCCCTGCCAGCTGAATGGTTCAGTCCGCTTCTGAGATCCAGCGCGTGAGAAAACCAAAGGGCAGACCTTTTTGGCGACTGAGAGTGGGAAAGCAATATATGTTTTGACGGCTTCTCATTGGGGGTAAACCAACCCGTTAAACCACCATTTACAGGATGGGTTTCAGCAGTTTGATGGATGCCCAAACCAGGCCCTCAAATCCTTTCTTTCACGACTTGCCTGACCTTCTTCAAAACATAATTCCAAGGTCTCGCCTCCAACCTGCAAAAGTCCTGTGAAGGAGGTCCGAGGAGGTCGGACAAGTTGAAAGGGCCATGTTTCTTGGATCAAGGAGGGAGTCTGCGCGAAAGGATCCGTTGGCTTCCATGCAGGTCAACATGTCGATGTTTGGGCTGCATCCCCCGCCGTTGCCAAAGACCCCATGCCCGGAGCCCTCTGGATTTGGACCCGTTCCCTCTTGGGACGTTCTGGTGAGTGCGACATGGGTATGAAGGCATTGTGACAGAGCTCAAGAGAGGCACCTCGGGCCTTTCTCATGAGTGAACCCTGCGCATTGTCAAATGGACGCCAACTTTTTCGCTCGCCGGGTTGTCACTTGCACGTTTGTAAAGAATTCCCTCTCTTGAGCGTGTAGCGATGAAGAGGACTTGTTGCCGTTGAATAGCACCTCCAAGTTCCAAGCGCGCGTACCTAGTGATATTTGTTTGGAGCATGTTGGCACCTTGTTACTGAGCAAGATGTTGGCGCTTGGTTTTGAACGAACATGTTGGCAGCCGAACATCTTGGCTCTGCTTTCCTAAATCAGGGCCCGCCCTTCGGGCCATTGATGTTTGATGAAAACATGGCTGAATGCACAGACTGGTGGATTTTCTTAAGGGAGTTGCAAAATATGGAGCCCTGGCAGGTTCCCCGGGGTGGGGTTATTCTGGCTAGGTGTGTTTGTGTTGTTTTTTTAGGCGTTGGGGTTTGGTGAGAATCCCGAATTCTGCAGCCTTCCTGCAAGGTGAGGTGACGTAGAGAGCATGATCCAACTGTTGTTTCCGGTGCAGGTCCCGCAGCATCTCAAGAGCGATCTCACAAGTTTGTAGAATCGGAGCTTGAATTCGGGGTAGGCCCCTTGAATGATGTCCGTCTCATGATTCCGAACATGTATCATCTTACGAAGGAGCCAGATGTTCATCACCTTGCAAGCAGAAGCTACTTTCGACTGAACAGACACGGCACAGGGATGATTTCTCTGATTCAGAGGATGGGCATGACAGCTGTTTGGAGCTGGCAAAATCAAGAAGGCGACCTGAATCTCACCGGGATGAAGCCGTATCTCCAGGGTTGGACCCTCTTTGGACGTGGATCTTTTCAGGGTTCAAGTGGCTTCGACCCGAGCCGTATCCAGCACCCTCCCTTCTCTGGGATGAATCGACCCGATGACCCGAGGACCCGATTGACCCGAGGCCGTTCGCTATTTTTGTGGTCACCAGCGCAAGTGAGAAACCGTTTTTTTTTTGCGGTCGGCAGTACCAAGCTTAGCTGCGATCCTTGATACCCTAAAAACAAGACAGCCCCTTTAGGATATGGAAACGTGGGGGGACTTGGATTCAACGACTGGCGCTTTTCCTTTGGCAGGCCTTGGGCGAGGAGGTCTCAGCAGAGGAGCTGGCTGCGCGTCCCACCACCCCACTGGCACTGCCCTGTGTCCGCCGCTCAGATGTGTGGTTCGAGTCGGGAGCAGTTCGGGGGGCCTCGAGGGTCCGTTTCTTGGTGGCGTCGCTCCAGCCATCCGGTTCCTTAGCCTTTTAGAATTTTAGTGTTGAGTGGCAGTTTCCATTTAACCCACTAACAGTTAGTCACTTTTAGCGGGGGATCTGAGGGCAGCCCAGGTTCGTTGGGGGTTGGTTTTTTCCAGGGAAAGCAAAAGGCACAACGAGTTTGAGGGTCCAACTGGGCATATGTGAAACGGATTTGGACGCCGAGAATGGGTGGGGTTTCCTGCTGCTCTCCCTGGACGGTGCAAAGTGTGTAATTCTTCGGCCCCCATGATATTCGCCGTTCAAGGGCGGTGTTAAACCTCACCTTTTTGGATTTGGCTCATTTCAGGTGAGTTTCCTTTTGGTGGTTTTCAATGGGAGCCCAGTTGAGTAATCAGCCGCTGGTTAATTTGAGAGGATCCTGCACTTTAAACATTCACAGTGTGTGTGTGTGTGCTTTGAAGTTTGTACCCTTTCAGAGGTTGGTTTCACGGCAAACCAAGCAGGAAATCACCGTTTTGTCGTCTCGGGCCCAACCTAATTTGACACATCCCTATTTGTGTTTGTCTCAAGGTTGGTTTTCCCTCTTGTTTTTCCTTTCATTCCTTTCACTTAAGGGGCTGGGCGGCAAGTGGGAAAACCAACTCGGATGGGTTCGACACCCCGTTGCACGGCTCTTTGGAACGCGTTCCAGAGTCCGCGGCGGCTAGGAGGCCGTTGAAGTTGCCCAGAACCTGTTTTGACTGTGAATATGAATGATATGAATGTGTTTGTTCTGAAGGGTGCTCGGACTCTTTTGTCAAACCAACAGAAGAGATCGGCAAGGGTGGGTTTGCTTGTGCAATTTCATGGGTTGCTTGTGCTTGTGTCACAGGATGGATACTGTGGGGTTGCTTGCTTTAGCTTTTGATCACAGGGAGGAAACTGATTGCCAGGTTGACTAGAGGTCCCGCCAATGGCTGAAGCGTGTTTTTGTGATGACTGCTTTTCTTTGGCACGTGACATGTTTTTCTCTGCAAGGCGGTTGTGTTGTTGCTTCCGTGAGCGATTGCTCTGCCAGATGGACAAAGTGAGACGCCATGCCATTCAAAGCGAAACTCAGGTGTTAGCGCGACATGGTCAGCATGTGTCATGATATGGCTGTGGCTCAAAAAAACGGTACCAAAATGGAACCCTGGTAAGTGGAAACATGGACCAAAACCTGCTGTTTGCCCCTCGTGTTTATTTTTCAGCCATACCCATATTGTTGTCTCCTCTGTGTGTGTTTCTCAACAGAGGTCCCCCTTGTTGGCATGTGCCTTTGTCGGGAAGCCAAAGGGAGACAACCACCAAAAAAGATTGGTTCAATGCATGAGAAACATTCCAAGGGACACAGTCGGAAAACCAGCACCGGAATGAGGAGAACGTTCCATCCAGCTTTCCAACACAAAAAGGCACAGAAGGAAAGGCGCGCCCATATGACCTGAGTCCTAGGGCACCTACACAGCTCTCTTGCAGCCTTCAAATTTCCCTTTTCCTTGGATTCCCACTTCCGGTCAGCCCGAAACGAACCACTTTTGCACTCGCCGGTTGCATCTGAGTGCACCTGTTGAGGCTGGCTTCGGAAGCGTGGACTTGGACAAGGCGGGGCGAAAGGCCGGTGTCGGGCTGGCCTCAGTCCAAGGGTTCGGGATCCCCGGTTGGGCCATCTCTTCTCTTCCTGGATAGCCAAGGTTGCTGCCTGTTTTCAGCCACTGCTGCTGGTTTTTGGGGGTAAAGCTCATGGAAAAAAAGCGATCGCAACTGGCGATCCAGGTGGGTTGAAAACCGGAAAATCTCCGAGAAGTGTGGACGCACATCGATGTCATTTCTTCTCTTGGGTTTCTATGGCAGTTTGCTCTGCCATGCTGGGTGGTCTTGCACACTTTGGGGCATCGACCATTTTCTGACGCTTGTGACGAGACTGCTCCGAGGGAGTTGTTTGGGGTGGCGGGGGGGGGGGATGTGAGGAGTGAATTCAGCGTGAATTGGCGGCGCCCTGTTGAAATGACCTTCAAGACTTCAAGTTCAAAGAGGAGGACGTGGCATTTGTTGGTCAGTGAGCCGGGGTTCAGGGCTCGGGGCTCAGGGTTCCCATTTCCCAACGTGCACTCAAGGAAAGGCGTTGTTTTTTTTTGTTTGGTCTGCGGAAAGCAGCAAGAATTGTCCGCTAGGTCATGTCCTAACGAAATTTCATTCAAAGCTTTAGATCCAAATATAGCTTTGGATTCAAAGCTTTGGATCCAAATGTCCCTTTTAGCTTTGGATCCAAAGATTCTCTCGGCCGAGTAGGTGGGTGCTGCACTGTGTCATTTGGATACCCTCTGCCGCATGGCCTCCCAAATCCGCCTGGAGGAGATGGAGGGCATGGGGATGACGTCCTTCGGCTTTTGGTTCGCGTTTTGAAAACCAAAAGGTGTCTCCAGATGTAGGTCCCCTTGGGGATTTCTTTTTGCTTGGTTTCCTTTTGGTTGGTTTCCCTTGAAAGCCAAAGTTGATTCCACTTGATTGGACACCCCACTAGAAGGCCGAATAGGCCCAGTATAATATTTCCGTTTGGCCGAAACAACAACTTTTGAGCGGTTGGGAAACAAGTGTCCCGACAAGCTAGCAACAGCTGTTGGACGTTTCGCGCCAGTGTGTCCGATGCTCTAGCTGGAACACCGGACATAACTGGAACCAGGAACATGGGTGGACATGGTGTTAACCACGTAAAATTGGTTGGCACTCCGGAAACAAAACGCTTTCAGCGTCCGCGAGTGGGGAGCGCTGGCGAGGCATAAGTGCACTGACAGGGATCAGCCGTTGCAACCAGTCAAAACTGGCTTCGCTGTTGAGAAGCTGATCCCCTCTTTTGATGTTTGAAAGCAACCAGCCAGCAATTCCAGGCTTGCCGGCCAGCGCATGAAACATGTGGCCACGCGACAAGTTTTGGGGCGAATGAAGACACTCGTATGTGGCATTACTGGAAGTGGTTTGGCTTTTTTCACGGAAACTGCAGACATGATTTGACTGGTGCTTGCTGGCCTCTAAGACTCGAGACTAGCGGCAACCTGGGCTTGGCCCAAGGAGCCACCCCCATGAGACTTGTCCTGCGTGGATGCAGTCGTTCGGTGTCGCAAGCATGCCGAGGCTCCATTAGGCATGGTCAATTTCAGGGGGTTCTGCTGCAGTCTTCATCCAAGTGGGGAGGGCCCAACAAATCGTTTAAAGTGGCAGTTTGTGTCATAATTAACAGGGGCAATGGATTGATTGGGGTGGTTTCAACTCCGAGGGCATCAGTCAACGCTCAAAGAGAAACAAGAAAGTCTATTCTAACATATACATAGCTCGGGCCTTAATTCGTCATGTCCTAAGAATCGGCGGAAGGGGCCTGTTTGTGTTTTGCATGAGGATGTTTGTACCCTGATTATATGTTCTTGGAAAGCTTGACCTTGGCCACAAAGTCTCTATTCCAAGCTCTGCCACACGCTTGGCCTAAGCTTGCACAGGTTTCCTCAAAGCTTGCTTTGATTCCACGCCAAGCGTCACTCACGCAGCTTTCTGGCTTGGGAAAGCTGTATGCGAGAATAGTCGCGCGAGTTTCGAGTCTTACCGGGTTTCTGAACACCACATCGTGGTGTTTGGGTTTCAATGAAGTGGCCGTTGTGCCCGCCGGTGTTGCTGGTTTTGCGAGGCGGCTGTCCAAAAGTGGATTCCTTTGAGACCCTCGTGTTCCCCCTGAAGGGACAAGTCAAAGCACACTTGGGCGTGAGAGCAAGAGTCAGGGTCCAAAATTGAGACCTGCCTGTTTTTGCCCCTCAGGCGTTCTTGCCTACAAGGTCCATACCCAGGACCCCAACTTGACGCAGTCCGCACCAGAGGTTCTGTCGAGAAACAGGGAAAGGGGTGCTCCCAAAGCAAACAACCCCAGGTTTGAAACATGGCCCCCCAAAATGGAACCTAACACTCAAAGTCCAACAGGTGCCTCCAGTTCTTGAAGTTCCACTGCATGCACAGCTGGCAGCAGCCATTCCTTTGGTGACCACGAACTTAACGAACTACACGGGTCTCATCGCCGACCGCGCGGCTCCGCCGAACCCCAACATCACCTACCACTTCGGTTTCCTGGCCAGCGACCTGGCCGTGCTGTCGGACAAGGTGAGCGGCTTCTACATCGTGCTGCACGAGATGCTGGGGGAAGAGGGGCCGAAACTCTGCCCTTTGAACAAGCAGAGCCACATCAAGGAGAAGGGCGAAAGGAGGTTTGGATTTTTGTTGCTCCCAGCATACCAGTCGCTGTTGACCAAGCAGCCATCGTCCTGCTGGTTTCTGAAACATGCTTCCCTTGCCTACGTAAAGAAGGACTTAAACGCCTGCGGCTCAGACGACCCTGCTTTCTTATATTTGTCGTTACTTTCCCTTTGGAAGTTTTTTTTGGAATTGTCCCATTTTAGTTCTCGTTTTGGAGTGTCCCCTTAAAGTTGTCCCATTGGAATTCTTCCAATGGAATTCTCGCTTTGGATTTTTCCGTTTGAATATTTTTATTGGACGTTTCATTTGGAATTGTCACATTGGAATTTGCCCATTGGAATTCTCACTTTGGAGTTTCCCACGTTTCCCATTTGAATTTTCCCTTTGCCATTGTCCCCTTGAATTTTTGCCATTGGACGCTTCCTTTGAACTTTTTCTTGTGGAATTATTCCATTCGAGTTTGCCCTATTTTCACTTTGAACATGTGCCATCGGAATCATCCTATGTTAATTTGTCCTTTGGACGTTTCCCTTGCTAATTTTCCCATTGGAATTGTCCCATTGGAATTAATGTTTCCTGCGAATTGTTGCTGTTGCTTTTCCATTGGATTGACATTTGTCGTTTGGAATTGTCCATGGGAGTTTTCCCTCTGCAATTCTTTCATTGGCGTTCTCCCCTTGCAATGTCCCTTTTCCCTTTGGAATTCTCCTATTGGAATTCATTGGATTTCCGTCATTGGATTTTTCATGATTTTTCCCTTTGGACGTTTTTCTTTGGATTTTACTCTGTATTTAACCCTCTTTGCTCCTGTTTGGCATTCTGATTATACTGGTGCTCGCACGCACGCATGCACGCTCGCCCTCGCACACACGCACGCTTGGGGGCGCAGCGGCGACCAGCGCAGCTGATGGCGAAGCCCTAGGATAACATGAAAACAACCAGGTGCCAAAGACCGGATTCGGGGTAAGGGGATCCTAAATCCGGCGGATTTGATTCCAACCAGCATGCATATTGCATACTTGACTGAGATGTGTTTTGTAGTGTCATTGCTTAGCTTTTTGCAAGTTGGAAAGGAGTGTCTCAAAATCGCCATGTGCTTATTGCAAGAGCACGTGCCGGAAGACATGGAGCTACCACAGTACACCACTTACCTGGAACTGGTGACGGCCTTTGTGGAGGTCGGCTGGCCGGTTCTCAAGAGGAACTTGCTGTTGGAGGACCGTGGAACCTGGGCCCCCTTCCAACTGCCCTTTTTGCTGGGGCTTTTCCCTCTGCCCACCTTGTCGCAACCTGTCGACTTCACTTCTCTTAAAAATGGAACTGCCCAACCTGAAAAAACAGAGCCCCTTGCGCGCCGTTTTTGAGAGAGGAGCCTACCCCGATGTTGCACGAAGATGACGTGGCCCCGGCACAGTACCAGTGCGATGAGCTTCAGCATCCAGAGGAGCCCTTTGGTCACGCGTTCCTGGACTTGGGCTCCAAGGCTTCCAGGCCTGACTCCTCGATAGTTCGGGCGTCGGGTGAGACCGAAACTCGGACGTCTTTTTTTTTGCCGAAAGGGAAGCGGCCTGAAAGAAGGATTTTGGTTTCCCTTTGGTCCAAGTTTCGTTAAAAAGGTGATCACCTTCTATTTCCAGGTCCTTTGGGCAAGTGGGGTTAAGGATGGTCATGGATCCTGGGATTGTGTGACCATGATAGGACATGAAACGAACCAGGGCCATGAGCCGCAGGGGTTTTGATTTGGCTCCGGTTTGAACAGCCCTTGTTTGCGTGCGCAACCTGCTGGGTTTTCCCTATCGTCTCTCGAAGAACATTTTCTGAAGTAGTTGGCCCCTGTCGTTAGCATAACCAGAGCTCCCGCTGAAAGCGGGGCCTTTCGGGCTTCCCGGTTGAAGCAAAGCAGAGTGCTGAGCCTTGGCAGGACCCTCGCGATGTCCGCTGCGCTGAGCCAGGCCTCCAAAACCACCTTCCAGGTGTTGGACGCCCATGAGGACAACAAGGCGTCCGTGGACGCCACTGTGCAGAAGTTGCACCAAGTGTGGCATTCCTTTTGCAAGGACGGCGAGCCGGAATCTCCGGATAAGTTTTGTCCTGCATTTGAAAGGAGCCTCGAAGGTAGAGGTTGGAACTTGATCAACTTTGGTTTAGGCAATCCAGTGAGCCGATTCCGTAGGAACTGGGATGCGATCACAGCAACTTCTGGGACATCCACTTCTCCTCGCACCAGCAAACGACGGCGCTGATGAAGCTGGAATCTGCCGCACATGTGCGGGCTGAGGTTCAGCAGCGTGCCCGGCTTCACAAGAGGGTCCTGCGCTTCGTTGAGGAGAATCATGTCTACTATGGCCAGACCCTCGGAATCTGAATGGACTAAATTTTACTTGGTGTTTTGAAACGTTTGTTTTGAACTGGAGGCTGATCAACCCTGGGCTGTGAGACTTGAGGATCAGAAATTCCAGCTCGCCCGGCCGGAAGTTCCTGGACCCAGCGTTCATCCAGGCGACTTGCGAGAGCCCACCCCAAAAGGGCCAAGACGTGCGCAGAACAGGTCCTGCTTTTGTCGGGCTGGCCGGAAATGGGGGGGTGCCTCCAGACATCCCTGGAGGCGTCTTCCAGAAAGGCCTGGCAGCGATACGCCGAGAAGGGCCGCAGATCCATGATCTCGTGGCTCGGCTCTGTCTCACGTTTAGGAGGGTTTTAAGGGAAGCAAAAAGAAAACCACCCATGGTAAAAGGGCCCCGAAGTTCGAGAGATTCCCGAACAGACTTGCTGGGGGACGGACATCAGATGACCTGGAACTTTCGCTTTTTGAACCTGTTGGCCTTGACATGGGTCGGATCTTTGAACCTTTGCCTCAGCTTTTTGAGGAGACAATGAACGAGTTGTTTCTTCCTAAGTTGATGTAGACCCCAGCCTCCAGCTTTGCGCATGCCAGCCGCTTGGGGCCATGATTCTCACGCCCGGGCTATGGACGCACTAGGCTGGTCAGTAGGTGCTAATCGGTCCGCTGATCATGTCTGCGGTAAAAAACGGAAACCGGCCACCCATTTAAAAACGGCCCAGAATTTCGAGAAGCAACAGGTGGTTTCAAAGGAAGCGAAAAGACAAACATATATATATATATATATAAAAAAGAAAACATGGCAGAAGCGGCAAAGCAGTTTTAAGGACTTACCGGCTTCGCTGCAGCGGAATGCTCCCGGGTAACCCAATCGTTTTTGTTTTTTCCCCGCGCGAGAAACGCTGCTCTGCCACTCCCGGAAGCTTGAAGGGGCCTGGACTTGAGAAATCGGGCCGAACGCTTGGAAAGATATGGACCCTGTGGGCTAAAGCATTTGCTATTCCTCCCCCTTCTTTTTCAATGCTCCTCTTTTTCTCTCTTCTCTTTCTCGCTTTCCCTCTTTGTTTGTTTGTCTCTTTCGCTCTTTGTCCTGTCCCAGCGTACCCAAATAGAGAAGAGATGCAGAAGCGATTGGGTGAGTCCATGTGTGAGACAAGACAAGATATGAATGAAGGGAATGTACTCACTCGCTTTCCCTCGCCCACCTACGGGATAGAGAAAAGGCAGGAGGGAATTTGTATTTTCAGAATTTAATTGATTTGCAGTATCTTTCTCAGATCTTACATGCCATCATGAATCCTCCTTGGAGACATGCAAATCCCTTTCTTTTCCACGTCTGATTGCATGAAAAGGGAGGTGGGAAAAGGGACAGGGAGGAAAGAGATGGCTGTCTCCCCGCCATTGTTTTTTAAGGTCTACCAGATGAGCGGGGAAATGAAAGCGTCTGTCCCCGAACCGTCTCTCTTCTATGAGATAGTTTTGACGGGAAGCAGTTGGACGAAAGTTGTCCAGAGGCACGAGAGACCTGTCTGAGGTACACGTGTGACCCAACCCTCTCTCTCTCTCTCTATCGCCTCATCTGGCTCATGTCTCTGTCATTCGTTCACTCACAAAGATTCCGGAAGTGAGTTAGAGAGAAGAATTATAAAGATAAGTTAGCACAGGAAAGGCACGGAGGTAACCATTTGTCATCTCTTTCTCTGTGTCCGCTGTTTTTGCCTTACCCACAGCAAAGAACCGTAAACGAGATGCGGATGGAGGAGCGGAGAGATAAGGAGAAGGCCAGATAGATAAATTAAATAAAGGAAAATCATAAGATAGCAAAGTGGTAGCAGATGAGAAGGTTGCAAGTAGATAATGGAAAGCCAATGAACTCATTATTATCAACTATTAGTTGGGTTTCTGATCTTGGGATTCTCTGGAAGACTGGGAAAGTTCATTCTTGACAGGTAGTCAGTTAATACGAAAGGAATGAGTGGCCTTTCCTTTCCCCATTGCCCGTTTGTGAGAACTATTAGTTGAGAAGGAAGAGGACATGGGCCATACGAGTATCAACCTTGCCGGCTTCGGCCAGTATGCTTTGGGCTGGCTTTGAGGTACTGTGTTTTGGCTTGCCTTGAAGTGTGGTGTTTGTTTGAGTGAGTGAGTCGGCGCCGACATGCGTGATAGAGGGTGGGTGCATGTTCGGACGTTTTGACAGGACTGCAAGCTGCAGAGAGCATGAGAAGGGCAGTGGGCTGGAGCCAAGGGGAATGTCACGGGCTTTGAGAGCGATCCGGAGTTGGACCGGTTGTGACTGGTTTGAAGAACTTGAAGGGTTTGTAGGGGATTTGGCCGGAGTTGGACTGGTTCTTAGACAGGGTTTGGCTTGTTTCTAGAGGAGGAATTTGACTGGTTTCTAGGGAAAATGACCGGAGTTGGACCGGCTTTATATTCATTGGATTGGTTTGTGGAGGCGAATCTGGCCGGTGTCTTGGGGGATTTGACCGGGGTTGTTTCTGGTGGGGATTTGACCAGAGTTGACCAGTTTTGAGAAGGGAGTTAATTGATTATTAGGGAAATCCTAGTGGAATTAAACCATGAAGACACATAAAGATAAAGAGATAAACTACAAATAGCCACAGGATTTCCTATCATCGATTGCTCTCCTTTCTTTTAATGCCTATAACTTGTGAATCTTGAAGTCCCAACACAGGAAAGAAACGGGTATCACTTGGTTGACCAGAACATTCTACGCCATAGAGCCAAGTAACAGTGAACCAGAATAGCTTGTCAACGACGAATGAGGAAAGGACAGAGAAAGACAATAAACTAATACAGGCAAGATAAGAAACGCGGCGATGTGAAAAAGTCTACTCTTTCTTACCTACTTAGCTTCAAGAACTTGGTGTTTCGGAAAGTCAAAAAAGAGAACGCCACTAACAAGATGGGATAATGAAGATGACTTGTGGGGATGTAGACATAGATGTGTTGAAGGCAATTACCAGTGGAATCTACATTTGGAGAAGTTGTCCATCTTTTTCTCAGCATCTTTATTATTTGGATCCCAGATGCAAACCACAAGGTGCGATCATTTTACCGTTTTACGGGAGGAACGGCTAAAACCGATTTACCGTCTTATCTGCAGAAACTGTAGGGAGGACCCACTAACACCGCCTAAGCAGCACTGTTGGCGCAGACCTCTTCGTCCAGCGAAGCTTCGGGTTTGCCAATTTGCGTGGGGAATTCGGTTCCCCACCAAAAAAACTTAAGGGTAAGGCAGCTTGATGCGCGTGCTGAGAGGGAATTGGGGTCGTCTAAGCAGGAATGAGTCTTGGCCGCCAAGAGGCAAGGGCTTGAACTGTTTTCCGGAAAAACCTAACTATGAAACCGCCCCTTCTGTACGAGCAAAATACGTTGTTCTGAGCGCCAAAACTCTTCTCACATTTTGGCAGACTGGGCTTGCAATTGCGGCAATTGCAAGTTTTCACAAAGGAGTCACCTGCAACAAATCCTGTATGGGCGCATTTTGTAGGGCTTTGGCCACACACTACATAAGTCGGAGCAGAACGTTGAGGCCAAAGGTTCCCCGTGAACCACCTCCGAACAAGCTCCGAACAAACTTTGGACAAACTCCGAACGAACTCCGAAAAAAACTCCGAACGAACTCCGAACGAACTCCGAACGAACTCCGACCGAACTCCGAGCAAACTCCGGACAAACTCCGAACGAACTCCGAACAAATTCCGGGCGAACTCGGAACAAACTCCGAACAAGCGAGCAAGCTCCGAGCGAGCTTTGGCATTGTTCCCAAGCCAACTCCGAACACACTTTGAGGCCATGAGTATGTTTTTGAGCCTAAGTATTTTGGTGGCCAAGCTGTTTTTTCTTGCTTTTTTCGGGCTTTCCAAAAGAGGCCAAGTCATTACAGGGGCCAGTTTCAACAAGTGGCCTGGGAAGGTATTTTTTGAGGCAAACAAACATGTTCTCAGGCCACTTGTTGAAATTAGTTCTTTTGGTCACTTGGTTTTCCTGTTATGTATCTTTCAGGCTGGATTTACTTCCCGGACAATCGCCAAACAAACTTTGGCCATATGTTTCTTTGGGGGAGCTGATTTTTGTGTTTCGGCCTTAAGTTTCAGTTGTTTGGCATTGTTTTGTTTTTTTGCTCGCTTTTTTCCAGGCTGTCATTTTTGCTTATTATTTTTTCGGGGCTTAATTCTTGCCCCGGACGAACTCCGAACGAACTCCGAAACGAACTTTGGCCTTAAGTTTTTTTGGAGCTTATTTTTTGGTGTTGTACTTTTTGGGTTTTGGTCGTGCAAAAACACAGGAATTACAGGCAAAAACATTGAAACGTGCTTAATCCAGGTTTTTCATGCAAAAAGCAGCTATTTCATACGACCAAAATCGGGCAAGCCCTTACAAAAAAGCGGGCAAACCCTTAAGTTCAACACCGGTGTTGAACTTAAGCTTGTGTTTTTGGAATAAGTGTTTTGCCCGGATCAGGCCTTGATCAAAAGGATTAAGCTTTGTTTCAGCTTCAACAGCGAGCCTCAGCCCCAGGCCACTTGTTGAAACTGGCCCCTGTAATCACTTGGCCTCTTTTGGTAAGCCCGGAAAAAAACCAACAAAAACAGTTTGACCACCAAAATTCAAACACATACTTATGGCCAAAGTGTGTTCGGAGTTGGCTCAGGGTTTTGTTCGGAAATCAACTAATGACACAGTTCGCTCGGAGCTTGTTCGCTTGTTCGGAGTTTGTTCCGAGCTCGCCCGGAGTTCGTTCGGAGTTTGTCCGGGATTTGCTCGGAGTTTGTTCCGCTCGTTCGGAGTTCGTTCGGTCCGGAGTTTTTTCGGAGTTTGTTCGGAGTTGGTTCACGGGGAACCTGGGGCCTCTGAGAATCGCCTCCAAGAAACACAGTTCTGCTCCGTATCATGTCGCATGTGGCCAAAACCCAAAAAATGTGCCCATGCAGGGTTTGTTGCAGGTCACTGCTTTCTTTGTGACACTTGCAATTGCAAGCCCAGACTCTAGCCAAAATGCGAGTAGACTTTCGGCTCAAGAACAACGCACTTTGCTCGTACAGAAGAGGCGGCTTCATAGTTAAGTTTTTCCCGAAAAACAGTTCAAGCCCTTTCCGCTTGGCGGCCAAGACTGATGTCTGTTTAGACGACCCCAAACCCCTTTCAGCAGGCGCGTCAAGCTGTTTTATCCCTAAGGCTTTGCACGGAAAACTGGCCTGGTCCCCTCCCAAAAAAAGCAGACTGATTCTTGTTTGGAGGAAACTGGCATCAATAGTACACTTTGAGTTTTGCTGCAAAATCTGTGTTTTTTTCCTTTTTTTGGTTTTGGCAAAATCTTAAGTTTGAGTAAAAAACCCATATTCTTTTTTTAGAGCCTTAAAACACCCCAATCCCGAACCAACTGACCTGACCCATGAAATTTGGCTCTCGGGTTCCCTTCATTTTGGAGGCCGCTGGCCGGGCCCTGCGCCGAGGTTTGTGATGCCAGTCATGAGGAATCTCGCCAGCAGCAACGAGACAAGGCTGGAAGCTGGGGACATTTTCCCTGTTTTGCCCGGTCCCCCGCATGATGTGCAATGCCAAAACGGATTCCCGTGTTTGTCACTTCCCACGCCCGCCCAATGTTGGCCCGGCGCAAGACTTCCCTGAGCGAAGCCCCATGTCAATGTGGCAAAGAGTCTGCGGCTTTGCGCCTTGGTAGGTACTTGGCCGGGCTTGAAGCCTGAAGTATGCCCCGTCCCTTTTTTTCGCCCACTTGAAAGGCATCCATGTGTGCGCAGATGATTGCAAATTCACCTTTCGTTTCGACGAGATTGCCCCCCACAATCTCCAATATGTTTAATTTGTTTGGCTAGACTATAAGTACGGAACAAATCTGACCAATATGTTTTTTGTGTGTCCCTGGTTCGCCAGCTGTGATTCAAGCAAACTTCCTGTGACCAGGCTGGTTTCACCATTCCAGTGGTTTTTCCGGTGGCTTCCGTTCTGTCGCAGGGCCCTGCAGCTGTTGGACCAGGCGCTCTGAGAGTCTGAGTCGGTGGTTTATTGGGCCGAGCTTGAGCAGTCCAATAACTGGGCCCTTCTCAAAAGAACCGGGGGCTGAAAGTGGATTCGATCTTCTTCGGGTTTCCGCTTGGGTTTCCCTTAGTCTTGTCTCAATGCCCTCATTTTCGGCCCAAGGACCCAGACCGCAGATTGGGAGGGAGTTCAAGCAGTACAGCGAGCCAGGGAGGTTTCGGGTCCAAGGCACCCCGTCAGCCCTTCGGAGCCCGAAGACCATCCAAGATTTGTTGAAGCTGAGAGCAGAAGAACCCCCAAGCTTCCATCCTCCCCTGGGTTTTTCTTTGAGTCCACTTTGTTCACACCCCTTTTTACTTGTCGCTTGGAGGAAAGCGATTGCGAAGCTTGAGCCCACCCCCGCAAGGTGGAGTTTCGGAAGTTTCAGCAGCAACAGGCTCGACGGCGTCAGACATATGAGGAGTGCGGCCCTGCCAATCAGATGCCTGAACGCTACAAGAAAGCAACAAAGCCAGCGCGAAGCAAGCTGAGATTTCAGTTTTCCTTTATGCATGTTGGAAGGATCTTACGAATACTGTCTCCTCAAAGTATCTTTCAAATGCATAGACTTTTGTAGTGCCTTGTTCTTGACTTTCGTAGTGCCTCGTTCTTATGAGGCAAACATAGAACCCTTTCTTGGGAAGCCTGTCCGATTCGGCTTTTCACAGGAGCCTGTGGAGCCGGACATGCCGGACGTGGACATGCAAGAGCAGGACGCTTCCCGGGATCCCGGCTCACTCCTTCGCTCTGGGGGAGAGTTGGGCTTGGCGGAGCTTCCGAGGGCTTGATGGAGAAAGTATCTCTTTGGCTGGTTCCAGGGCCAACTGGACCTGGAGGGCCGTACAGCCACATATTTTTATATTTGTTGTGCACATGTGCAAATTACACCTTGTCATTTGCTGGAAAAATGTGTCCCTCATTTGTGCGGCCTTGTCAATGCGCTTTTCCACGAGTAGGTCTGATCCCGCACTCGCAAGCGCCATGAGCCAGACCAGGAGTCGGATGCAGAGGTCAGCCTGATTGACGACTCTGAGGAAGACGAAGACGAGGAAGAGCCCATGTACCTACAGGCCGGGGGAACTAGGACAGTTGAACATGATTCTTCGCGAGTTTGTTATGGATAGAACCCTTGGTGGGACGAGAAGCCTCCCACCAAGGGAGATCACCAGCGGTTCTCATTGGCAATGTGTTTCACTTGCACGGTATGCAGCGAGAAGGGTGATGCTCGAATACCGCAGTCTTGCCCATTGGACTCAGAAAGGTGCTTTGGAAAGTGGTGGCTGCGGGCTGGTAGGTCACTTTTATGTTTAGTGCCCACATTGCCGGGCAGTGCTGGATGCATGGCTGGCCTTTGTTTACAGGCGACCCCAAGAAAGTCCTCCTTGCTCCCCAGATGCGTAAGACCTCTCGTTTCTAGCTATGGTTCCCTTTCAACTTCTGCAGGGCTCCTTGAAAGATACATTTTGCAACCATTTGACACATGGCTTTTTCAACACCAAAATAAAGGGAACCCACCATTTACAAGGCAATGTTCAGGCGTATAATGTAAGGATCTCTGAGCTTAGGTCACCGAGAGTGGCGAGGCGGAGTTGGAATCAGAGACTGATGCGGAGAGCGGACGCCGCCGCCGGCGAAGGCGCGGGCTGTGGCTTGGAGCTGGCTTGGTGCTCGCGGACCTTGACTGCTAGTGGGTTGGATCTTTAGACTTTAGCTTTTTGGGAAATAAAGGTGTTTTCCACTAAACCCCCCAAAAGTTAAACTTTTTGGTCAACAGCAACCAAGAGACTGCAAAAGACATTCGTAGCCAAAGAATTCAGCCGCGCAAAAAAGAAAGGAACAACGCCCCTGTTGCGCATTTGGTTGACTTTACTATGTCTCTATGTGGCTCCTTAGGGATTGCTTTAACGCTTTCGGCTCAGTCCGCCGACATGACGGGCCGGCGATTTTTGTTATAGGATCTACCTCATTGGAGTTCTTCCATAAGTCTTGAGAATGTTGCCTTTCTGTGTTTTCCCTTTGACATTTCAAGTTCCCCCCATTAAGTTCGGATTTTTTCCATTGGACGTTCCCAGTGGACTTGGTCCATGGGTCCCATTTTCCCTTTGGCACTTGATCTTTGAGTTCTCCCCCTTGACATTCTCCCATAACTTGTCCATTGGAAGTTTCCCGTTGGTATTCGCTCAAAAGACTTGTCCCAGAAGGCTTTTGCTTTGGGCTTTGAAAAACTTCGGATTTGTGTCGTTGCGATGTGTTTTCTTTGAGAAGTTCCGCTTGGTTTTTCCATTGGGCTTGGATTCTCCCACTAAGATTCTCCCCTCGGAATGGTTGAATGTTTCCATTGAAACTGCCCTCTGGGTTTTTCCCTTGGAGCTTTGCCCATTGGCCTCTGGAGGTGTTCCTTTGGAATCATCCATTAGAATTGTATATCCCACTGGAGTTCTCCTGAAGTTGATTTTCCCTTTGCAGTTGTCCTTGGGAGTTTGCCCATTGGACTCTTTTTCTGTGGAATTGTCCCAATGGAATTCTCCCCTTTGACTTCTCCCATTGGATTGCGTCCATTGGATCTTTTCCACTGGCATTCTCCCATTCAAATGGTTCCCTTGGATTTTTCCTTTGGAACTCTCCTAGTCAAGTTGCCCCCATGGACCTTTCCCTTTGGATTTTTTCCATTGCTATTTTTCTATTGGAAGTTTCCGGTTGGAAGTTTCCCTTTGACGTTTCCATTCCGAGTTTTCTCATTGGAATTTTCGCCTTTGAGTCAATGCTCCCTTTGGAATTGTCCCATTAGAATTGTCCTTTTGGAATTGTCCGTTATATTTAGCTTTGTTCGTGCCTTTTTTCCAGGAATGTGATTCTGATAATGCTGGTGAGTGCTTGGGGAAGTTGCGCAGTGCAGCGCGGGGAGTCAACCACTCCAAGGCTTTCAACCCCGTGTGAAAAAGATTATTCTGCGAAAGGGAACGTCTTGGAATCAGTGGCGGTACGTGCCCACCCCGGGAAAGTGCAGGTAGGGAGCATTGCCGGCAGATTGAGAACCCATGATCTACGTTTGCGCCCGTTGTGTATTAACCCTTGTTGGTCTTCTGTCTCATCTAAGTCCAGAGTAAATGTCTCATGTGCAGGTCGTTGCTAATCGAGTGTCGAAAGGGTCATGTACCATTCGCGGACATGAGCCAATTGTATACATACATACATATTACATATATATATATATATATAGATAGCTATATTTTAGCAGAAGTCATTGAGTCTCGTTATTTTCGCACCTTGTGGAGGATCATGATACGTCACAAGGTGTCACTTCCCATCGTACTGCTGAAGCAAAACAACAAGCAAAACACGTGCCCAACACAAACCATGGGTAAAGAGCAACACAAACAGAAACCAACCTCTGGGGGAAAGTCGTTTGGCTTAGACATGTCAAACAACGTACAACAACAGCGTTTTTTTTACTACGTTGTAGGCGTGCAACAGGATAACATGCGCAACAAATGTTCATTCTCCAAGCATGCGCAACCCACACATCGAGAGCAGAACCCGGTTTTGCGCATTTACTCACATGACTCGGTATCTGTATCATCAGTTTCTAGCGCATGAACACCAAGACACCAGGCAGTCTGCCATGAACATTGCGTACAAACAATACACAATTACTACCCCTGGAGACGCCATCCTGCGCAATGCAAGCGCATGTTGGTGCCCATGCACGTGAATGCTTACTGTGCCATGCAGTCAGCTGGTTAGCTTAGGAACCTGTTTGGCCTGGCCCGGAGAACAATATTCAGAATCTGTTTTGTTCGGCGATGTGCGACTTGCAAATCCGCATCCATGGCTGCGGTGATGCCTGTGCTGCTGCTGATGCTGGTGATGCCTCTGATGCTGGTGATGCCTCTGAATTGGTGATGCCTAAAAGTATCTAGCCAGAGCCAAGGGTGACAAACAGACATGCCAACCCTTGAGAAGGCACGCTTATCTGGGGGAACCCGCAAAATCCAAAGAACGCGTGTCCAGACTTCCGAGGTTAGCTTAGGAACCTTGCCAATTGTGTGATTCAGCACGAACTGGGTACTTAGTTACTAAGCTACTTAGACTTGTCAAAACCAGTGAACCAAAACACCCACCCACTGAGAACTTGAGAGCCCAATCCTCAAACGATGCCTTCCAATCCAAAGGCGCTCATTGAGCGCACTGGAACTCTGAGCACAATGAGTCTATGTAGCCGTTGATGATCTGTGGCTTTTGCAGGTGCCCTGTTCACCTTGGTTCCGAAGGAAGGCAAACAGGAAATCTGCAAGTTTTGGAACAGCCGTTTGAAGCGCTAGGAGAAGGTGGATCGGCGGCAGAAGGCGGCGAAGACACCGAAGGCTTCGCTTTTGATACCTTGCATGTCCTAACGTGGATGGCCTCTCGTGTGTTTCGCGTCAAGAACTCGACGCTGTCTTAGTTTCACGACCTCATGCGGTTGTGATCGTCCAAAGGGGAGTCGTCGGGCACTTTCAGCCGAAATTCTATGCACAGACTGCCAATTCCGAGCATCCACGAGATGTATGAACCAGAATCCATGCGAAAGCTGAGAAGAAACAGAGGTGCATTTTGCTCGGATGTTGGGACTTTAACTTTTTGCCAACTAATGGGTTTTCCACTAAACCACCAAAAGCTAAACTTTTAGCAGGGGAGCAGAAAGCAACCGAGGAAAGGATCCAAATCCCAAATCCGGCGGGGAAACGCCAGGCGAATCTTCGAGGCGGCCGTGGCAGCTGTGGCCAAAGTGGTGGAGGATGTGGTGGAATTTATGGCGTCAGGTCGGCATTTTTTGGCTTTTTGGAGGGGGTGCCCAGTGCTGGGTTTGCCTTTCATTCCTTTGATGGGTCTCCCCATTTGGGTATGGGTCAAAATTAAACCACCAGGGGACCGCAGGTTTTGGTCCATGTTTCCATTTACCAGGGATCCATGTTGGGTACCTTTTTCTGACCCACACCCATTTGGGGTGAAAGATTGAGAACCCAAGTTTGGGTGTTCTTTTGGTTTCCCCAGACCAACCTGACATCAGCGATTTCCCTGTGCAGCCCTGGCTTGCATTGGCACTGCCGCGGAGTTCACCAGCACGGGCTACTCGCACCTTGCCCATACGACCTGCAACCTTTCATTAGTGAACAGACCAAGCGACCTCTACAAATTAACCATGTGTTTTTTTTGGAAAATAGATGGCCCTGGTAGATGATTGAACCGCCAGGTAAACCAGGGCCTTCTATTTTTAAGCAGAACAACTAAGAAGGACATCTATGCACACTTGTTGCAGCTGGGTGGAGTATTTGTTTGAAGGGCACCGTGTTTTTCCCCGTGGTTTTTTAAAGGGACACCGGCAGGACCACCGCCGTTTCAAGTACCATTTTGGGCGTCCAGCTGAAGTCAGGATTTAAACACCTATGCAAGTGTATCTGGGAGCGCGGAATTTTCGAAGTCCCAAAACCCAGGTACGAGGTAGTCCCTGGCGCGGTGAGTCTGAGCATGGGCCTCTCTTCCGGCTCTGGGCAGAGCCTGGACAAGCTGGTCCAAGGCGATGGCGTCATCGTTGTTTTTATTTTGATCCTTCTTCTTAATTGTTGTTGGGTTGGATCTTTAGTTGTTTTTTTTTTGAGAAATCAAGCAGTGTTCCACTAGGCCCCCAAAAAGTTAAACTTTTTGCGGGGGGGTCAACAGCAACCAAGTCCTTTATCTAATGTTCTTTAATAACGGCATGTATAGGTGATGTAATGGACAAGTTGGTCCAAAGCGATGGGCGTTCGCTTTGTTCTCAAAACCTCCTGCGGGTTGAACCCAGAGGGGTTCGTATATCGGCAAGGCGGTTGGAAATAGATGGGTTCCACTGGTTCAGAAAGTTGCCGGTTTTTTGCAGATCAGTGATGAAAGCCCCAGCTCTGTAAAAGAGATCAAGTGTCCCTTCCACTCTGGTATCGTTTTGAGGCGGAAAGGCGTTTGAAGGAAATGCCAGAGAGGCAGAGAGGGCGCCTAATTTGGACAACGTCCCCCTTGTCAAAAGCAACCATTTCCGGCCCCTTTTGTGTATGTGTTCAAAATTTCGACTTCGGACCCCCCGGAAATGGCTTCGGCGTTCCTTTTCCCTTTGAAGCAAAACGAAAAGGGGATCCTCAAAAAGGGCGCGCCTCCCAGGAAAGCCAAACCTGAATAAGCATGCTGAAAGTAATTGGCCCAACCCAATGCAACCATGGATGAATTCACTATTGCTTGACCAACACCCTTCTGCTTGTCTTTGACAAGGGACGCTCCGTTCGGCTGTTTGCCTTGGAAAGCACGTGTTCAACCTCGGAAACGGTGTGCGCAACATGCTTGTTGCCATTCCTTGACAAGAATGAACATACTCTCCAGCAGATGAACCTTTCACCCAAAACTTCGAGAGGAAGCTTCTGGGGAACGGTCTTTTTTGGCTCCAGCTTGGTCTTTTTGGGCTCCAGCTTGGTCTTTTTTGGCTCCAGCTTGGTCTTTTTGGGCTCCATGCTGAAGGGAAAACCCTCGCATTTCCCTTCGAGGCCAGCCGCCCGTCGCTTTCATCTCCTTGGACTTTGGCTTTGCGGTGGGCGCCACCGCGAAGCTCACGTGGAGAGCCTCGACCGCCAGCGAGACTCGGGTGGTGAAGGACTCGTTCGAGGTCCCCCAGTAGTGCCCTTTCTCACCTTTTTTTTTTGGTTGGGAGGGTTCCCCTACTAAAATAGACTGCAGAAAAAAATGGTACCCTTGTTCTAACCTCTCTACTGGAGGACCTAGTCTAGCACAAAGTTTTTCCAGGCTAGTTTGGCAATGTCTGGTGAAGGTATCCCAGATCGTTTTTACTTTTACTTGTTTTTTTTTTTCCGGTAGCTGGCGGCCTGAAGCACGACTTCGTTAAGCTTCTGGCAAGGGGCTGTGTGGAAAAGGCTTGCCAAGAAAGCCATCTTTGGGAGCAGGCGGTCAAAGTGTGGTCTCCTTCAGAATTCTGGTGCTGCAAATTGCGGAAGCCATGCTTTTACCATCAAACACGTTCTCTGGTTGCAGGTAAGTGGAAAAATGCCTCCAAAACAACGTAAAGATGAGGCTTTTCCCAGAATTCCCTCAAAAAGTCATGGGTCCACCACTCATTTCCCACTTAAAATAAAATAAAATATCCTTTTTCCCCTCAAATTCCCCCCCTCCCAAGGAATATGTTCACCAAATAAGCCCAAGAAGAGGATTGGCTGTCCGCCACTTCCACCAAAAACAAGAGCCCAACACCCTCCCTCACCAAGCGAAAGCGAACCCACCACATGAACCCATGTCCCAAACAAACGGGCCCACCATTTCACAAGACATCACCCCTTCTAAACCCCCGACCCGTATCGCGCGACGAATTCTGCGGCTGAGCTGGTGTTGGCCTGGGCGGCGGGGTCGGCTGCAACGTGGCCGGCTGCACGGCGTACATCGTGGTGGCGCTCATCGGGTCGGCCGCATGGCTGGCCTTTGGTGTGACCTGAAACTTGTTATTTGGTTGGATCTTTAGACTTTAACTTCTTGGTTGAAATAAAGGGGTGTTCAACACTAACCCCCCAACAAGTTAAACTTTTTGCAGGGGGGTCAACAGCAACCAAGCTTAGACCTTTTGGCAAGAACTGGCTTGTCCACTGACACTGGAAAGGTTGGACTGTTTGGACTCCATTTGCTCAGGGCAGAGCATTGTTGCCGTTTTTGCCCTCCCCCCCCCCAATAAATCAGCTGCGCCCACAGAGGCCCCGTGCGAACTTGAGTGAGTGAGTGAGTGAGTGAGTGAGTGAGGGAAGAGCAACCCAGGTGAACATCCCCATGGTCACTGCCGCTTGTCCCTTCGGGGCCACATTGGGCTCAGCAACCTGCGCACAGGACTTCGGGATTAGATTTGGTTGCGACCTGTGGATGTGGCCTTTTTTTCGCCATGGGTCAAAATCCCGTACCTTCAGTGAACATCCGAATCCCCACTAAAAAAGACTAAAATGGGTGGTACACCTACCCCAAAAATGGTACCATTGGTTTTGACCCACAGCCATTTAGGGGGTGCGGTACTGAGAAACCAACAGATACCCGACGTTTTGGGGACGCTCTCCTATTTTGACAACCGAAGTATTCGGAAGCGAGGCAAAGAAGATGGGCATTTCCCAACTCATATTGTCCTTCTTGTTTTAATTTCAATTTAAACACCAGACCGACCGATTCCCTTACAAGCACCATGGCTAAAGGAATCTGCGGGGGTCTGCTTAAACAACAGTGCTTTGACCGCCCCAAAGCATGAAAAGGGCTCTGTGCAGTTTGGTGGCTTTTGTTTTTTGTTGGCTCCCCCCTAGGAAGCTCTGGTTCCCGGATGTCCCAACCTGGGAGGCCTTTGGAGGAGGCATCTCCCAGATGTGCTGCAACATGAACCTGCAAACCGGCGGCAACGATTGCCGCTGAGGGGTGCCGAATGGATCGAGGCGCATTGCGAATTCGGCGAATTCGGCGAATGCGAATGTGGGATGAGGCATTTGTGTCTCCTGTTTGCCATTTGGCATGCATCACTCAGTTTCAGCGGGCCTCTTAAGATTGTGCGGAGCTGCGGTGAATCAAAGTTGCGTGCTCGGAATGGTTGTGGAGGGTCTCCGCCGCCTTGGACAGCTTGCAGCATGCGAGCTAGGAGATTGGTGACTTGCAAATACTCATTTGCGAAACCTTCGGCCAAAGCCCCAGGTTTTTAGGCGGAGTCAGTGGGTTGACTCAAATCATTGGTCTTAAGCTGGCCGAATTCTTTGCGGCCAATTGCCCAACAGCTTATTGATACGGCCAAACATGTGATCCCACCAGTTGTTTTTGCGACCCAGATATCCATTTCCGATGAGCCTAAAAGTTGGCCCTGATGAGATCCAGAAAAGTGCGCAGAGGGTCTTCTTCCGTAGCCCTGTGTTTTCCACACTTTTTTTTTGCTGAAGAAGTCGATGTGTGGTACGCGGGACGCACCGGCTATTTGGCAAGCTCACTACACGAAGCGACGCTCCAATGGTTCTGTTTTCTGCCAGGGGATGACTTCATGGCATTGGGAGATCAAGACGCCCTTCAGCGTTTGAATATCCTCAAGACTGCGAATGAGTGGAAATGGCTCGGAACTTTGGGACACGAAGTCTGCGACGACAAGGAGGTTCACTTCTTGAATCGTTTGATCCGTTGTGGAGTTCACCAAGGATCTAGTGTCATTTTCTTGGAACCTGACAGACGGCATGTTGATCTACTAGTTCAACAGCTTGGCATGGCTAGCGCAAAGGGTGTGGAGACACCTGATGTGAAGAAGTCTGTGGATGAGATGATGGAGGCCAACAGTCCACTTCTTCGGAAGGACATGGCATCCATGTATCGGTCGTGTGTTATGCGAGCAGCATATCTGAGCCAGGACAGGCCTGATTTGAGTCATGCTGTGAAGAACCTTTCAAGGAAGATGGTTGCACCGACTGAGGCATCTCTGCAAGACTTGAAGCGGCTATGCATATTTGGTCAAGAAGCCTGATATTAGCCAAGTGTTTTCGAGACAGGCAAAGCCATCGAAACTGCGAGTCCAAATCGTCTCCGACGCAGGCGATGTGGTCACCTGTCGGTCTACGACAGGTATGATCGCTTTGTATGGCGAGCACGTTTTGAAGCACGCAAGCAAACGTGCAGTCAACAATTGCCCTATCAGGGTACTACGCTCTGGTGAAGGGTGGATCGGTAGGACTAGGGTTGCAAGCGTCGGCCAAAGCCGCAGGTTTTCATGCAGAGTCAGTCGGGTTGACTCCAAGATGAGATCTTGGAGCTTGTTTTGTGAGTTTCGCTTACCTCTTGGTTAGAATCGTCCAGGTTTAGGGTTTGAGTTTGGGGTTTACCCTGGAATTCAAAAGGCCTTTTCAGAAACGGCCGTTTGTCGAAGAGCCATTTGTGGCAAGAATGCATGTTTTCACTGGCTCCGAAGAGCCATTTCTGGATTCCCATGTTGGCCAATAAGTAAAACCACATTTCTGGACTACCATGATGGCCAATAAGCAAGACCCCCCCCCACACAAAGCTGGCAATCATATAGGCCCCAAGCTCACATTAGCCAAGTCAGAAGTTGAATCCCTGAACTTCCAAATTCCTTTGACTGGCTGTTTGTCGAAGGACCTAAAAAAGACAAACCCGCGTTTTCACTAGCCTGGGGCAACCATTTGTGGAGCTCGATGTTAGCCAATAAGCTACCGCGGCCGTAGTCCAGCCATTACGCAAGCCCGTGTTCAAGCTAGGCTCGTTTGGAATCGCCTTTTGTCTTTGAAAAGTCGCGCAGTTGAGCTCTGTAGACTTCAGCTCCGCCACTTTAACTTGCATGCCTTTCAGGCTGAGGTGGCATGCGGCGGGATGTCCACGGTTTGTCCACTCCCCTAAATGGATGTTCCACTCCCAGAAATGGCTTTTCCACGCCCACAAATGGCTCTTCCACGCTTTGTCCACGCTTTGTTCACGCTCCAGCTTCTCCGAGACTGCTGTAAGACGCCCATTGCGCCAACACGCACACGTAAGAGAGACAGGGTTAAGCCGACCAAGCTCACATAACACACAAGGCTCCTGGCTGCCGGGCCATGACAACAGCCATTTCGGAAAATGCCGCTCGACGAATTTTAAACAGAGGTTTGTAAGGACCCTAAAATGATCCAGCGTTTTTTTAGAATGGTCGAGGGTACCTAGGCCTTTTAAGACATGGGCGAGGACGCCCAGGGTTTGTAAAAATGTAGTTTGCCTTGCTGAAAAGCTCTCAGAGCTATTGGCCAAGACCTTCAAAAGGCAACCCCAACCCACTGAAGCGCGCTGAATCGCAAAGCAATGCCATACCTAAGAGCCATTTCAGAATTGGCCGTTTGATGTTCCTTAATAGGCCGTTGGTGAAGACCCACAAATGGCCGAGCATTTTCTTAAAATGGCCGAGGGGTACTAGGCCATTTCAGAAATGGCCTCCGACGTCCAGGGTTTAGGCTTGGGATGCAGTTTTCGGGGTTCCGGTTTAGGGTTTACGTTTAGGGTTCAGGTTTGGGGTTCAGTTTTATGGTTTAGGTGTAAGGTTTAGGGTTGAGGGTTGGGCAAAATCACATGTAGGAGTGGACCGAGTGGACATGCTGAGTTTAGTGTTGGGAAGGCAAGATTGAGCATTGACTACTCTAGAATTCGTATTGCCAAACTCAACGGCATTGGCAGCGCTGAATTTGGCAGTGGCAATCTAAGATCGAGCATTGGCAATACTAACTTTTGTGTCCGCAAGATGGGGGTCTAATTATAAACGCTCACCTCGGCCTTGAGGTACTGTGTTTTGGTTTGTCTTGAAGTGTGGCGTTTTGTGCGAGTGAGTTGGCGCCGAAATGCCTGAGCTGGTTTGGAAGGGGGCTGGGGCAGCAGCTGGGGCCAAAGAACCTGGAAAGGATCGGGCTGGCCCAGCGCCAGCAACCCCAGCCCAGCCTTAGCGCCACGCTTCACAGTTGCGGGCGCCACTGCGCCCTGGCGCCAATGAACATAAACAGGCTCAAGCGCGCTCGCAACCGCGGCGCGCATTCTGACACAAATGATAACTCGACATGCTAGAGCGCATCCACAGCACTGCAAAAATTCTAGGACAAACGATGCTAAATATGCTCAGGTGCATCCACAAGCACTGTGCCATGCTGGCACAAGTGAGAATAAGCATGCTCACGCTGGCACAAATGGTGCATCCTTATCCTGCACCCATGTTGGCGCAAGTGGGGCACAACACTTACCGAATAGACCAGGTTAGACAAAAACCGGCCGAATCCCGAAATCATGGAAGAGATCAAAATTAGAGTCCCGGGCAGAATCCGTGTAGACCGAAAAAAGCCGTCTAAAACGTAGCCCCGAAATTAAACTAACAGCATAAAAGTCTACCAAATCGACAGAGAACATCTACCGAATCACCAGATTTTTGAGTAGAATAGACCGACTTCATAGTTTTAGATCTACGCAAAGTGCGACAAAACTGCGGGCAAAAACGAGGAAAGTTTGGCTTGTTGCTTGTGATTTCCCTTGGCAGGGTAGGTTTGCCTCAGGGCGCAACAAGCTGCCCGGCACTGCCTTTTGGCGAGCTGGCTGGCCGTGTTGCTTTTAGAACCACTCACTAGCTGGAGGAAAACTTTAAGGAAAGTGCGGGGAATTTGGCTTGTCCAAGACTGCGAATGAGCCACCAGCAGTTCATAAGAAGTTTCGAGGAAACTTCGGGTTTTTTAGGTTTGTCTAAAACATGAATTAGACCAAAATTTCGGCCGAATAGGCAGAATGAGTTTAGCCTAATTCAGCTATTTCCGCGCCCAGCAAACAACTGAACAAACTACCGCGTAGACAGAACAAGTTCTAACTAATAGTCAAGAGTGTTGCCCGTATAGACAATCACGAAATAGACCGAATACGCAAGTTTGGCGAATAGACAGTTGTCTGACTTATCTGCCGGGTCGCTGGTGCCAAGAGGTTGTAAGCAGGTTTTTAAGGCAGACTTGCCAAACACTTTACTGGTAGCTTTTTGACGAGCGCGCGAGTGGATCGTGCGAATAGGGCGTGCGAGTGTGCGAGAGGACTGTTCAAGTGCGGGAGAGCGGACGAGTGTACACGCACACGATTCACTCGAGCAGAAATAAACCTTTGTTTTGACACGCAGTTGAAAACTTTGCCGTGCAAGTGAAAGTAGTAGTCGTGCACCATGCTGATCTACAAGGTCGAGGCAAAAAATTGCCATATTTCTGTCGGCGTGAAAGTAGCGTGGAGCGGTTTCGGAACGGGTTTGGAACCGGGAGCGGGCCCATTAGCGCAGATGCGCACGCAGTTTTGCGTGACAGGCGCAAGCTGAGGCGCGGATTGCGTGGCACCGCACTTTGTTGGAGCGAGAATGAGATTTTGGTGGCAGGCGTAGCACTTTGGCAGCCTGTGTAGATTTCGTGGCAGGAGTAGCACTTCTGCAGACTCAGGCTCAGAATGCGTGACAGGCGCAGCGAGTTGGCTGTGCTGGGACGGGCGCGTCGCAAGTCCAAAACCGGCGCGCAGAAAGAACGAAAGAACAACAAAAAGAAACATGGAAAGAACAGAAGCAGTGCAAAGCAAGAAGGAAAGAGACAGATAACAAAAGTTTTCATAGTTTTGGAACTTCCGCCCACTGTCTCTACTGTTCATACATACAGATTTACATCCAAGAATTGGCGAAAGCGGCCTGTTTGTGTTTTGCATGAGGCGTATACCCTGATGTGTTTTCTGAGAGATTTCAACTCTGGCCACAGAACCTCAAAATGCGCGTGCGCCAAGCTGTGCCATACACTTGGCCCTAAGCTTGCCAAGGTTTCCGTATGGCTTGCTTTGATGCCTGCGCTACACTCCCGCAGCTTTCTGGCTTGGGCCAGTTTGTGCAATTTCTCAAGAGTTTCGACAATGCCGGGTCTCTGACACCGCATCGCGGTGTTTGGGTTTCAATGAAGTGGCCTTTGTGCCCGCCGGCGTTGCTGGTGTTTCTCCGAGGCGGGCGGATGCCTTTAAAACCCCCCCCTAAAGGGCCAGGTCAAAGCACAACCGGCGCGAGAGCGAGAGTCACGGACCCATCTGCTCCTCAGGCGTTCTTGCCTACAAGGTCCATACCCAGGACCCCAACTTGACGCAGTCCGCACCAGAGGTTCTGTCGACAAACAGGGAAATAAGGGGTGCTCCCAAAGCAAACAACCCCAGGTTTGAACATGTTTGAAATGGGAATCAACATGAATCAACAGTCAAAGTGAGACAGGTGGCTCCAGTTCCTTTGTATGCACAGCTGGCAGCAGCCATTCCCCTGGCAACGACGAACTTGACGAACTACACGGGTCTCATCGCCGACCGCGCGGCTCCGCCGAACCCCAACATCACCTACCATTTTGGTTTCCTGGCGAGCGACCTTGCCGTGCTGTCGGACAAAGTGAGCGGCTTCTACACCGTGCTTCACGAGATGCTGGGGGAAGAGGGGCCGAAACTCTGCCCTTTGAATAAGCAGAGCCACATCAAGGAGAAGAGCGAAAGGAAGTTTTGCTATGCCTAAGTGCATCCGAGTTTCTGCCGTACTATTGACTAACCAGCCAGGAGGGAAATTGGTGGAACCATCAGGGTACACACTTTAGAGCCTCCGGCTCAGTCCGCCGACATTGTCCTCTCCCTTTGCTCCTTCTTCCTCCCTCTGCTCCCCATCCTCCCCATCCCCCCAAGCTTCTCTCTCCTCAATCTCCCCCTCTCTCTCTCTCTGTCTCTCTCTCTCTCTCTCTCTCTCTCTCTCTCTCTCTCTCTCTCTCTCTCTCTCTCTCTCTCTTTCTCTCTCTCTCTCTCTGTCTCTCTCTCTCTCTCTCTCTCTCTCCCTGTCTCTCTCTCTCTCTCTCTCTCTCTCTCTCTTTCTCACTCCCTGTCTCTCTCTCTCTCTCTCTCTCTCTCTCTCTCTCTCTCTCTCTCTCTCTCTCCCGCTCTCTCCCTCTCTCTCTCTCTCTCTCTCTCTCTCTCTCTCTCTGCTCTCTCTCTCTCTCTCTCTCTCTCTCTCTCTCTCTCTCTCTCTCTCTCTCTCTCTCTCTCTCTCTCTCTCTCTCTCTCTCTCTCCCTCTCTCTCTCTCTCTCTCTCTCTGCGTTGCAGCGTCACGTCCCACCTGAGTTGCCTCGATGTCCGGGCACTGCCCCTTCATGACCCTGAACTGTCATCTCACTACTGGCTTTCTGCTTGATTTCCGCTTCATGCTGACATTTTCCCGGTATGTCCGCTTCATTTTCCATGCATGTCCCGTTCTTTCGTGGCAAGTCATCTCCCTACATCTCCCGTCGTGCCGATTGGTTTCCTTGTGCTTTGTGTCCCTTTCATTCCCCCTGCGCTCCCCTTGTTTTCATTTCTGTCCCTCGCATGTCCCTTTCAGTTCCCCTTTCATTTCCCGCTGCTTTCCTGTCATGTCGACTTCCTATTTCCTCCCCTCATTTCCTTGCACTTCCTTGCATTTCCCCTTTCCCCCCAATATTTCCCGCAAAACAAAAACATGGTTTTTCCAATGTTTTCGCAATTAGGACGTCCAAAAACACAGAGTTTTTCCAGATTTTCGGCAAAAGGCGGAACCCCAAACCGGCAAAGAGCCGGCAGGGGGAATCGAGCCTGGGACCCCTGTTTTGCGACACCTCCCCGAAGACTACGTTTAGTGGAACGTCACCAAACTGCCGCGCGGTCCGTGGGGGGGTGGGGCCCCCACATCAGACGCCGGGCAGGGAGGGTATCCTTTCTTAAATGTCCGACACGCCGGCGGACTTGACTGAGATGAATTTTGTTTGCTATCACTGTGACTTTATCCCCAGCACCACCTTTCTGGCAAGGAGTGTCTGAAAATCGCTACGTGCTTATTGCAAGAGCACGTGCCGGAAGACATCGAGCTACCGCAGTACACCACTTACCTGGAGCTGGTGACGGCCTTTGTGGAGATCGGCTGGCCGGTTCTCAAGAGGAACTTGCTGTTGGAGGACCTAGCCCCTTCCCCAACCTACCCTGCCCTTTGCCCACCTTTTCGCAACTTGTTTACTTCACTTCTCCTGTGCCCGACATGAAAAACTCCTCGCACCTTTTTTGAAAGGAGCTGTTTACTGCATTTTTTCTAACAATGCAGCTGCCCAAAATCCCTTGCGACGTTTTTGAGAGAGGAGCCTACCCCGACGTTGCACGCAGATGACGTGGCCCCAGCACAGTACCAGTGCGATGAGCTTCAGCATCCAGAAGAGCCCTTCGGTCACGCGTTCCTGGACTTGGGCTTCAAGGCTTCCAGGCCGGACTCCTCAATGCCCGGGCGTCGCAAGCGAATCGGCCTGAAGCAACTTGGTTTCCCTTGGTCATTTCGCTAAAGTGCCTAGAGGTGGGCAAACTGAGGTTAAGGATGGCCATAGATCCGAAGTGACCCACAAAAGGTTAATCTTGCGCTTTCCGGTGTTTCGCGCTGGCAGGACCCTCGCGATGTCCGCTGCGCTGAGCCAGGCCTCCAAAACCACCTTCCAGGTGTTGGACGCTCATGAGGACAACAAGGCGTCCGTGGACGCCACTGTGCAGAAGTTGCACCAAGTGTGGCATCCCTTTTGCAAGGACAGCGAGCCGGAACCTTTGGACTCTGGATCCCAAAGTTGTGTCCTCCCTTTGAAAGGAGCCTCGAAAGTAGTTGTAAGTTGATCAACTTTTGATTTGTGGACATCCAGGGAGCCGATGTGAGCCGATGTGAGCCCCATAGGACCTGGGATGCGATCACAGCAACTTCTGGGACATTCATTTCTCCTCGCACCAGCAAACGATGGCGCTGATGAAGCTGGAATCTGCCGCACATGTGCGGGCTGAGATTCAGCAGCGTGCCCGGCTTCATAAGAGGGTCCTGCGCTTCGTTGAGGAGAATCATGTCTACTATGGCCAGACCCTTGGCCGAGTCTGAATGGATTGGCTTTTCTTATTCGAAGCCTTTTTGCTCTTAGGGTGTTGGACCTTCAATGCTGGGTTCGGCGCCTGAGGATCAGAAATTCCAGCTCCCCCGGCCGAAAGTTCTTGGACCCGGTATTCATCCAGGTCAGCGACTGCAAGCCTGAGTTCTCACCTCCCAAACAGGGCAAGCAGCCAAGAAGATGTGTGAACAAGACACGTTTCTCCGTTTTCGACAAAGCTGGTCGAATGCGCGGAAACGGAGGGGTCAGACACCCCTGGAGGCGTCTTCCAGAAAGGCCTGGCAGCGATACGCCGAGAAGGGCCGCAGATCCATGATCTCGTCGCTGGGCTCAGTCAAGTCTCTCCCCTTTTAGACGGTTTCAAAGCAGACCACCCATGTTAAACGGGCCCCCTAGTTTCCAGACTCGCTGGACAGGATGGAACGACAAACAGGACTGTTCTTGGCGACTACCTGGGACCTTCGCCTTCTAACCTTTAAACCGATCTTTGAACGTTTGCGACAGCTTCTTGAGGAAACAATGAACGAGATGTTCGTTCTATCCTAGCAGCACGTTGTAGAATCCACTGCGCATGCCAGCCATTTGGGGCCTTGAGTCTCAGGCCCGGGCTTTTGGGGCAGACCTTTTCACGCGACTTCGGGTTGGATCGGCATAGCCGCTGGGCCCTGCGACGAGGTTTGTGATGCCAGTCATGAGAAATCTCGCCAGCAGCAACCAGAGCAGGCTAGTCGGGGATGAGGTGCTTCAATATCAGCGAAGGCCAAGTTTTTCGCCGCCCTTTTCTCCTGTTTGGTCGCCATCTACGCGCGTGCCCGATGTTTGGCCCTGTGGCACATGTAGCGCTGCAAAGCCCCACAGCTCTTCTAAAGTCTCCTGAACGAAGCCCGGTGTCAATGTACATCAAGAACAGAGAACTCAACGTCCGTGAGTTGTGGTGTAGCTTGATCCCCGCTTCCACCTGAGGGTAGACAGTCATGCAGTTTCTGCACATATAATTGCAGGCTCACCTTGCTTGCCCACATTTGCATCTTTGGCTGGACTAGATATGGAACATAGTTTGAGCCATTGTTCTTGTGCACTGGTCACAGTGTTACTGTCATTTTTTGGTTTTTGAAGGCCCCGGTATGTTTGTCTTGGTTTTTAGCATTCTCTGGCAGGGCCCTGCAGCTGTTGGACCAGGCACGGTGTTGGCAACTTGGGCAGTCTCCAAACCGCTGGGCGAGCGTCTCAAAATAGGAACCCGCACCCGAAAATGGAGTTGTGTTTCTTTCATTCCCCCTTCAAAGTTATAATCTTAAAGGGTGCCCTCAAAAAAGCAGGACCCTGCCAAATGATGGTGTTTTCTACAAAACTTGTGTGTGGCCCTATTTCTATCTATTTCTCATTTCCGATTTTCTCAATTTGCCCTTCTAGCCGCAAGGACCTGGTCCTGACAACCTTGTTATAAGAATTCCGTTCACTATCTAGGTTGTGGATATAAAGCAGCTGGCTTCCAAGACCGGCCCTGAGTTCAAGGTGAAAAGATGCAAGGGCTGGCTTCGGCGCAGTCGCTTCAGCTCAGTACCCGGCGTTGCCAGTTCAAGCTTGGGCACTCCCACGGAAGGGCAAAGCTCCAGAACTTGGCATGCGCGAGGAAACTTGGGCCCAAGTTCAGCGCAACACAAGTGTCCGGAGAAAGGCGCGGAAAGGCATCGCTGAAGCACTGAGAGCCACGTCTCATGCGCAAAGCACGGACGCTGAAAGACGCCGACAGGGAAGCGGTCGGAGCAACCAATTTGATAAGGCAAAGTCTTCGCAACGCAGCGCGCGGAACTCTGACGGCGCCCATGCAGAACAAGACACGTGCGTTTGCTTCCCATCGCTTTGTGGAAAGAACCCAGCATAGGGGCGCGTGTTTTGAACCGCACTGTAAAATGGACATTGCCGTCACAAGGCACGCAAACTAAGGAAAGGCCTACCCTCTTGACTCTCCCCATCATGCCCCTGACTTGGCCGCACGCAAAAAGGAACAGGGTCCCCTTCTTTCAAGAGCCGTTGGGGCATCGGTGTCCGGAGTCTGCCATCCATGGTCGGCACTTCACTAGGCTTCACTGAAGGCGCCGGGAGAAGAATCTTGAACCCAAAGCAGGGGAGCCGGGAGTCGAAAGACAATCAGAAGGGGAAACAGCCCAAAACAATAAGAAGAGAGGCCTCCCAAAACTTAATCAAGAAACCAACAGCTGCAATGCAAATATCGCAGCCGTCGTCATTTCGTGCTTTGGCGCTGTCATGCCTGCACCCTCTGTGGAGGCCAAGCGAGGTTCACGCACAGTCAGAAGGGGGCCTTGGCAGAACTGGCGCAGCTGGCTTCCAAACCTTGCGGTCGTCCAGAAGGGAACATACTCAAACCAGCCGAACATCTTAAGGCGAAACAGCCTCTAAGGCATCCTCTGCCGGCAGCGCGAAATTGACACGTGCCGCAGGTCGAGGGATAAATAAAAAAGAAGAAGAGCGTTCTGAAGCGCAAATTGCTCAAGGAGCGACTGGTCAGAAGCATCCTCCTCAAGCTGTCTGGCGCTGCAGGGAGCGCATTCCCGGTAGTTTTTCTTTGAGAACGAAAACAGTGAGCCGTGCGTCTGAGGACAAAGAACCAACAATAGCGGCCCAGACAGTGACCGTGGTGGCCCCCATTCTAGCCATGTCATTTGCGTAGTCCGCAATGTTCTTGCTCCTCCCACAGCAGGAAAAGTTCCTATGACATTGGCCCGGTCAAAGCCCTGTTGGCCCTGAGAGAGTCCAAAAATAAGTTGTCTCCACTACCTTCGCGAGGTGGAATTTCGGAAGTTTCAGCAGCGACAGGGCCAACGGCGTCAGAAATATGAGGAGCGCGGCCCCGCCAATCACGAGCCAATCAGCGTTACAAGTAATCGTGAAAACCACCACCAACCTGACACATCAGTTTTGTCTCTCCTCTCAGTATCTTTCAAATGCATAGACATGTGCAGCGCCTCCTTGTTCTTGTTTTGAGGCAGACCTTTGTTCGCACAGGAGCCTGCAGAGCCGGACATGCCAGACGTGGACATGCAAGAGGACCATGAGGATCAGGGCTTCCAAGCGCCCCCAAATGTGGTTGAGCGTGCCCTTCACCAAACACACACACACGCACCCACACACACACACACACGCACGCACGCACACACACGCTCACACCCACGCACGCGCGCACGCCCACAAACACACATAAATACACACACGCACACAACCACGCACAAACACACGCACACAACCACGCACAAACACACACACACACACACACACACACACACACACACACACACACACACACACACACACACACACACACACACACACACACACACACACACACACAGACACAGACACAGACACAGACACAGACACAGACACAGACACAGACACAGACACAGACACAGACACAGACACAGACACAGACACAGACACAGACACAGACACAGACACAGACACAGACACAGACACAGACACAGACACAGACACAGACACAGACACAGACACAGACACAGACACAGACACAGACACAGACACAGACACAGACACAGACACAGACACAGACACAGACACAGACACAGACACAGACACAGACACAGACACAGACACAGACACAGACACAGACACAGACACAGACACAGACACAGACACAGACACAGACACAGACACAGACACAGACACAGACACAGACACAGACACAGACACAGACACAGACACAGACACAGACACAGACACAGACACAGACACAGACACAGACACAGACACAGACACAGACACAGACACAGACACAGACACAGACACAGACACAGACACAGACACAGACACAGACACAGACACAGACACAGACACAGACACAGACACAGACACAGACACAGACACAGACACAGACACAGACACAGACACAGACACAGACACAGACACAGACACAGACACAGACACAGACACAGACACAGACACAGACACAGACACAGACACAGACACAGACACAGACACAGACACAGACACAGACACAGACACAGACACAGACACAGACACAGACACAGACACAGACACAGACACAGACACAGACACAGACACAGACACAGACACAGACACAGACACAGACACAGACACAGACACAGACACAGACACAAACACGCGCACACAAACACAAACACACACACACACAGCCACACAGCCACACGCCACACGCCACACGCCACACGCCACATGCACATGCGACACACACACACACGCCACACGCCACACGCACATTTACACGCACACGCACAAGTGCACGCACACGCACCCCCGCCCACCCACACGCACACATACACACACACACACGCCACACGCACACACACACACACACAGACACAAAGACACACAACACACAAACGCGAGACAAAGACTCATGGTTAGGGTTTGCTTTGGATGGAAACCAGGAGGAATTACGAGAGTACCGGCCTTTGGGAGAAAAGGGGGGGTGTTTCTTACATGGGGAAAGCGCATGCATCTGATTTTGCGACCTCGCAAACTCCGTTTTTCCCTGCGTGTGCGACCCTGCGCTCGCAAGCGCCATCGGCCCATTGTTGGAGAATCCAGGAGTCGGATGCAGAGGGCGGCCTGACAGACGAGTCTGAGGAAGATGAAGACGAGGAAGAACCCATGTACCTGCAGGTCGGGGTCGAAGTATATGAGGGTTAGGTACAATCTTTGCGTTTTCGCACCACATGTCTGATATGGGCAGACCAGGAGGGGAGATCACCACCAGCATGTCTCAATGGCGATGTTTCTCCCAGCTACAGTATGCAACGAGAACGGCGACGCTCGAACACCGCAGTGTTGCCCAGTGGATTCTGAAAGTTTCGCTGGAACATCTTGGGGGCGGGCTGGTGCAGGTTACTTCTCCCAGAAGCACGCGAAGGGTTATTCTGCTAAAAAGGCGACGAGCTTTGCCTGCGTTCCTGCCAACATTTTGCAAGTTACTTCACTTGCCAGCTTCTCCTGCAAAACTTTTCAAGCGCTACTTCACCTGCCAACTTCTCCTTCCAACTTTTCGAGATTTAGTTCACGGTACTTCACTTGCCGAGTTGCTTCACTTGCCAACTTTCCGCGTGCTAATTACTTCAGAACACCTGGCAACTTCTCCTTACTTTCGTACCTTTCATGCCATCTTCTTTCCGGATGTTATTTCACCGTCCTAAAGACACAGCTAACTTTTCTTTTGCCCTTTCCCTTACTTCTCAAGTCAGGTAGGCCGGACGGGATTTATCAAATTGCACCCTTTTGCAGAAATCGTGCGTGTGTCTCGCTCTCGCAATGGCTCCGTGCGAATGTCTCTTGATCCCGGCGAACCCTCTGGGGATATCGCTTGTGTCGAAGCGCTCTGGCTGTGGCGTCGCTGCCGCTGCGGAGGTCGCGCGTGGCAAAGCGCTCTCGCTGTGGCGCCGTGCGTACGTGTCTTGATCTCGGTGAACAGCCCTCTGAAGATAGCGTGTCGCCCTCTGGGTATACGGATGCGTGCGAATGTCTCTTGATCTCGGCGAACTCTCTACAGAGATCTGGCGAACCGTCTGCGGAGATTGTGCTCGTCGAAGCGCTCTCGCTGTGGCTCCGTGCGAAGGTGAGGGGAACCCTGTTGCGAGTTGTCTTTCCTTCTTTGTTCGCGCAATGGTCTTCGGAAGTTGTCTCGTGGTTTGCGCGCCTGCTTTCGCAGTGGTGCGGCCGCGGGCTCCATTCCCGCCATGGTGAGCAGCAGGCGGCCAAGTCGGGACTTTCAAGCGCACATGTAGCACGCGAAGCGCATTCCCATGGCTCTGGCTCAAGAATTGCAACTTGTATACGTGCAAAAGCACTGCGCGAGGCGCTACTTCTAAGCACAAGAGTAGCACACAAGGTACACGCGAATGTGTCTTCAGCGCGGCGAACCCTCTGCGAAGAATGGCGGCGCGCGCGAATCTGCTTTGGGCGCTGTGAACCCTCTGCGAAGATCGTGCGCGTCGAGCGTGGCAACGCGCGAAATATCTTTTGTTTGCGCAATGGTCTTTAATTTAGATGTTGTGTCGCGATTTGCGTGAGATCTGCTCCCGCCAGCTGCAGCTCGAAAATCGCAACTTTGAAGCGCAAAAGGAGTGCGCAAAGTGGACGCCCGCAGCAAAGAGTAGCACGCCAAGAGCACGTGAAGCGCACTCCCGCAGCTCGAGCAACCGCAACTTTTATGTATACAAGTAGTGCTTTCGCGCACTCCCGCAGCTCCAGCTCGAAAATCGCAACATTTGGGTGCAGAAGTAGCACGTGAAGCACACTCCTGCAGCTCTGGCTAAAAAACGTTCGTTTTTACCCGGCGCAAAGGCACCGTGCGAAGCCTTCCGCAGCTCCAGCTCGAAGATCGCAACTTTTAAGCGCAAACTCTCGAACCCGCAGTTTTAAAATGCAAAAGCAGCTCGCGAATTGCACTTGTCCATGTTCATTCAGCTCGAAAGTCGCTCATACTAGGGGGCATCATGCGCAGCATCATTGTGCAACATCATGCGCAGCATCATGCGAAGATTCGCGCGCAGCATCAGTTCACAGCGCCATGCGCAACATCGCACACACACACAGCTTAGCTTCACGCGCAGCATCAATGCACAGCATCACGCGCAAGAGAAGTTGACAGGGGAGAAGTGATCTAACGTGTTTCTATGCTTCCGGGCAACCCGTTTTAAAACTCGGCGGCTGGATGCGTGGCCGGCCTCTGTTTATAGGCGACCCCAAGAAAGCCCTCCTTGAGCCTGGTTGCTCCCAATCAAAATGACAGACCCCGCTTTTCTAGCTGAAGTGCCCCCTGTGCAACTTCTGACCTTAGGTGACCGACGGTGGCGTGGCGGAGTCGGAAGAGGAGACTGCGGAGAGCGGCAGCCGGCGTCGTCGAAGGCGACGCCGAAGAAGGCGAAGACGAAGGCGAAGACGAAGACGACGAAGGCAATGAAGGGGCGGTTTAGGGTGGGATTGGTTGGTGCCCGGACACTGCAAAAGGCACTTGTTGCCAAAGAATTGCTGCGCATTTGGTTGGTTCTACTATGTGGGAGTTGATCAAAATGTCCTTGGTAGCGCTGCAAGCGTTTGTGTTTGCGCAAGATCCGCGCTGGAGTCTGCGAAAGAGGTTTTGTCGTGATAGATTTAGAGACAGCTTCTTGGAGGCATGCTTGTACGCGGCATGGCGGCGGAGATTCCAGCGGCATTGCAGAAAAACCAGCCGCAGAGAACTCAAACGCCACAACTAAGACAGAAACACCGCAACACTGTTTCCAGAATTTATCTCGCGCTGGCTGAACAGAATCCCAAGTTTCCACGTTTCCCCCCGGAAAACAAAACATGCTGAGCGCACGCTGCTTCTTTCTGGCCCCATTTTCCGAACAATTTCTCAAAACAAATATGTTGTCATGGACAGCTTGCTACCCCGAGCCTTTAATTTGTCAAAGCATCTGGGAGCCAAGACGAATCGATTTGACCATGATCTTCTCAGCTTTTGGCAAAACAACGATCAGGCGCTGCATTCTTGCCGATTTCCGCTGCATTCCCGCCGATTTTGGGGTGGAACAAGCTGCAAAATGCAAAAGCAAGCGCAGGTTGTAATGGGTTGATTTCGGTCAATCTTGGCTGAGTTGGGGCATTAGCTGCATCAAACGCCACAAATTAGGAAGAAATGCTGCAAATCCAAAAAGGCGCCTTTTTATATACGGTAATAGTAATAGGTATTTGCAGACCCCACCCCCAGTGCAGACAGCGCCTTTCGTGCGCCCGTGCTTCGCTGGGAACAGAACAAGCCGAAACAATGGCGGGGCTATTCTCGAGTAGAAAAACGAGGAAGTGATAAGACAGACGGGAAAGTGAGCAGGACGTAAAAGTGCAATTTCCCATCTGAGAGTTTGCGTGAATTATATGTCACAAGGTGTCATGTGCCATCTGCGAGAAAAAACGTATGTCAAAAGGTGCCCTGCCCCGCGTGCAGAACGTTTTACGACTGTGCACCTGTCTGAGCGCGTCTAATGTTGAATGAACTATTTTTTAGCGCTTGTTTGTTGAAATGATGAGCAGTTGCAGCCGCGGAATCTGTTGCCAGTCAGAATTCTGGAGAGGTATCCTACCGGCAAGAATCCGATGCACCACTGCCACGAACACACCGAGATTCGTTTGGTTGCCAAAACCCAACCCCAAAGCGACAGCGGTAAAGCAAAAGACAAGTTTTAGAATACCACGTGTTTTTTTTTGTTTTTTTTTGTTTTCTCAAGGTGCTTTTGCTTTTGGGTTCTCATGTGTCTGTGTATTTTTCCTGATTTGGACAGGCCAGATGCCCAACACCCAACACACATTTTCGTATTTTGTTTGATACCCCAGAGACAAACAAAACAAACAGCAACTCGAGAAAGCCAAAACTAAGATTTGCGCACAATGGTTCAATCATGTGAGAGCCAGATTTGACTCTGCCCAAGGCCGACGAACGCCTCTACAAAGTTCAAAGCAAATCAATAAGACACGCGACACAAAGAAACAAAATAATCCAATTTCTGGGGACAATTATTTGGGACATGTCAATAAACGTTCAACCTATCACCGTGTTTGTGTTTTAACATGTTGTAATACCTTGCGGGTGCGCAGCACAAGAACACGCGTCAACAGTGCTGATTTGTGCGAGCTTGCGCATTCACACGCACCGAGACCAGAACCCGGTCAGAATTGGTTAGACGCATTATGCATTTACTCACATGATTTCGTATTGTTGACATCAGATTGTAGCGCATGAACACCGAGACACCAGGTAATTTGCAATGAGAAATGCTCACTGGCAATACACAAGTACTATATTCAAAACGACTTAAAAACCGCAAATGGCAGATCACGGCTTGGGGCTGGCCCTAACCTGAATAGCTATGTCGGTATACTTGTTGGCGACGCCGGTGACGCCTTCCAGCGCAATGCAAGCTACTGTCGAAGCGCACTGCGCCATGCAGTCAGCTGGTCGCAAGTTAGCAACCTTGCTAAAAGTTAGCAACCTTGCTGATCGGGTGATTCATCGAAGAGCTGGTTTGTTAGTTACTGCGCGAGTTACATGTGTCCTGGAGTTACTGGGGGCGTGACCCTTGCACCTTGCTATTTGGGGCCCGTCGTGTTTCCTGGAACAGTTAAAAATAATGAAGGTCCCCCCGTCAATGCACGGGTTGTTGCAACTGCACAGCTCAGAGTTCCGGGGTTCGCCTTGGATAGTTGGTACGAATCGCGGGTCATCGTTTGAGGGATTGTTCTCCCGCTTTCTCAGTCTGCATTCGTGTATCTATGTGTGTGTGTGTGTGTGTGGCTGTGTTTGATGGTTTCCTTTGAAGCCAAAAGGAAAGTCAACCTTTTTTGGCACAAGCAAAGCGCGAGGAGAAGGTGGATCGGCGGCAGAAGGCGGCGAAGACATCGAAGGCTTCACTCTTGACACCTCGTGCATGTATCGTGGATGTGCTTCGCAATAACTCGACTCGACGCTAGCTCAAAGGGGACTGGTCAGCCACTTTCACCCCGCAAATTCGATGCGGACCATCTTGCGTACACGAAGTATGGACCAGAATCACACAGAAAAGCATCAGGCTTCGGCGAAAAAAAGCGCCAGGCGGGTCTTTGAGGCGGCCGTGGCAGCTGTGGCCAAAGAGGTGGAGAATGTAGTGGACTTCATGGCGGGAGGCGGGAGGTTTGCATTTTGTTTTCCTTTTTGGTTTCCCTCAGATCCCATGGTTCAAACGGGAAACTCTCTTACCATAGCTGACTGGTTGGTTTCCATCCAAAGTTGTCCTTTTGGACCAGCGTGTGGGGATTGGATGAAACTCTCTTAAGTTTCCTTTTGGTTTCACAGCCTGTGGTTTCCCTCGCTTTGGGTTTTGGTTTCCCTTGATGTGTTTGCCTTCCATTTAACGATGGAAGCTTCACGTGCGCGCACTCTTGACTCAGTGACTGGACTGTTGGTTTCCGAATTTCCCCTTTGGAGCAGCCTGACAAGGGAAAAATGAAGAATTGAAACCCCAATGTTCAGATGGGAAGTTCTCTTGCCCGTGTCAAACTATGGGGGGCCTGAAAATGTGTTTGTTTTCTTTTTGGTTTCCCCTCTACCAACCTGACGCCAGCGATTTCCCTGTGCAGCCCTGGCTTGCATTGGCACTGCCGCGGAGTTCACCAGCACGGGCTACTCGCACCTACGACTTTTAACCTAGTGAACAGACCAAGCGACGTCGAAAAATCAGCCATGTTCACCCCCTTACGTTTGCTTCCGTATGCTCTTTATTAGAACCCCCCAAAAAAGAAAAATGTTGGTTTTCCTGAACACCACAAAACAAACAAGGTACACCCACCTACAACAGGACTTCTTGGGCGGCTGTCAGTTGACCTTTGAAACCAGGTATGAGGCAGTCCCTGGCGCGGTGAGTCTGAGCATGGGCCTCTCCACCGGCTCTGGGCAGAGCCTGGACAAGTTGGTTAAAGGCGAAGGGTTTTGTTCGTCGGCTTTGGTCAAAACCTCCGGAAGGTTGCCCGGTGTCCTTACCGGTGCACACGACTGGGAAGTGATCAGTTAGGTTTTAGAGGTATCAATCCGTTCCCTCCATATTGGCCTTTGCCTGTGTCAGGCGAGGTGCTTGAAGACAATGCCAGAGAGGCTATGTGTCAAAATAAGACTTCGCACCCCGAAAACGGCTTCAGCTTTCCTTGTTCCCTTGAAAAAAACGAACATGCTCTCCCGCAAACATTGAACGAAAGCCATCCTCAGGGGATCTTTTTGGGCTCCATGCTAAGGGAGTTCCTCGCAATTGCCGTTCGAGGCCACCCGCCAGTCGCCTTCATCTCCCTGGACTTTGGTTTTGCGGTGGGCGCCACTTATAAGCTGACGTGGGGAGCCTCGACCGCAAGTTCGCTTTAATCATCCAATTTCATCCGAAGTGTGCAATGTTTGGTCAAGTTCTCCCAGATCGTTTTTACCTTTTTCGGTAGCTCGCGGCCTGACGTTTCGGATGCTTCTGGCAAAGGGCTGAGTGGCAGAAGCGTGCCAAGAAAACCATCGAACGGGAGGAGGCGATCAAAGTGTGGACAGTCTGCAGGCTGTGTTGCAACCATTTTTTTGAGAATTTTGGTGCTGCAAATTGCGGAAGCCATTGTTTTTACCATCAAACGCTTTCTCTGGTTGCAGGTAAGTGGGGAATGGCGGCAGAACAACATC